CTGTCAGTCTATCAGATATGGCATCATTCACTGTTCGTTACAGTCTGAATTTGATATGCACAAGGGTAATTTTGATTTGTAAAAGGTTGAATTTGATTTGTAAAAGGTTGAATTTGATTTGCAAAAGGTTGAATTTGATTTGCAAAAGGTCGAACTTGATTTGCAAATGGTCGAACTTGATTTGCAAAAGGTTGAATTCGAACAAAAAAATACAAACTTTAACTAATTAATTAAGTAAATAATCAAAAATTTAATTGTCAGGATAGTCTTAGGGTTGTTGAAATATCCCATGAGTTCACCAATAATGACTGGGGCTCAGAAAGAGAGAGAGGAAAAAAAAAAGGCATAAGCGATCGAACGACCCACGATTGTGTTATATTGTGCCATACGGACATGGTACTGGAGTTTTATGTTTTAAGGTGCTGGTACTCTGCACAAAGTGTTTATTGTCACTGACACCTCCAACCCTAAATTATAACTTAAGGCCGGGGACTGGGGTGAGCACACTTGCCTAGAAAACTTGCAAGGAGATATTAAATGGTCACCTTAACCATGTTGATGTTCTCTTTAAGTATTTGCTATGCACTGCATGTTATTTATAATTTATTATTGTATTTACTTGCCATTCAGCAGATAATAATACTATAATAATAATGATAATAAAATAATAATATATTAATATTATTATTAATGTTATTACTGAGCACTTCAGCTAGGCTTTAAGTATATTCAAAGACTGAGTGCCTGTGGGAGCGATTATCCAGATACACAGTGAGAGAGCAGACAGCACTAGCACATTACACCTGTCATTTTTATTTCTCCTGGGCTTCCTTGGAAAATAGGAATTTTAGACGGGCGGGATTTCCCAGTGACGAGAGAGACAGGGAATCACAGAATCACAGGATCACAACAGAACCAACCCAGGTTATCTGGGACAGTAGGTCACTCGTCCATTCAGTCACAGAAGCAAACTGAAGGAACAAAACTCTCCCCATGTTCCTGATATAGGTGTTAATCAACAGCCTTTGTTATATGTGTCTGGACAGCCCCTGATAATGATAACAAGCCTACATTGTTCTCAACAAATTGTATTCAAGTAATGACTGAACTGAACAGACGTGATGTGTTTTATCGTGCTTGCACAACCGGGGGCAGGCAGGCTGACATAGAGACGGGTGAATGACCTAGTGATTCGCTGGTACAGTACTGCCTACTTGTGTGTCGGAATCAGTCAAGGTCGGCGTCATATTCACAATAAGATCCAGCTACAGCTATGTGATCTGCTTCTATTCACATTTGTTTTCTGTGGTAAGTTGTGATCATTATTTCGGTTGTATAGCAGGCCTAGATATGCTAATGGTCTTCTATTTATTTCGTTAAATACATTTCATAATTTTAAGAAGTAGAATGCAGTAGAGCGAGCGATATATATATATATATATATATATATATATATATATATATATATATATATATATATATATATATATACATACCCCTGTGGGTTCCGGGGCTCTATTATAGGGAGAACAAGAATAGACTCACTGCTTACCCAAAAGCCTGTCGTAAGAGCGACTAATTAGGAGCTTCCTTCGAAGTCGGAGTGCATCTGCCTGAGAGGCAAGGAACCAACGGTCTGCACACAAATGAGTCAGGTCTGTCAAACGGATGCACACGCATAACTCAGGTCCTGGAACAAGACTGCAGTTCAAGAGTGGACAAACAACCATAACTTTTTTACAAGAATCTACAGCAGGTGAACGCAAAGAAGAAGATATATAGATAGGTAGAGAGAGAGAGAGGTGGGGAGAGACAGATGTAGAGAGAGAGAGAAGTAGAGAGAGAAAAAAAAAGAGAGAGAGAGAGAGAGAGAGAGAGAGAGAGAGAGAGAGAGAGAGAGAGAGAGAGAGATTGTAGTTGGTAGGAAGAGGGGCCATGTAGATGTTGTATTTGTTGGCTTTGTCCTTACTAGGTCACTTCACTTGTTAATGGGTGACAGTTCCCTTTCACATAGTCGTTTATCGCCATAGTCAACAATACCCATCTGAAATAAGGAGGTGGGGTGAAACAAAATATTATAAAATATAGGAAGAGGAAAAGGTGTAAAACAAAAACAATAATCAAATCAACAAAGCAGCAAGAATAGTAATAATCATAGTCATAATAAAAAAGTCCCAGTAAGAGTAATAATCGTAGTAGCGGTGGAAATAATAATAACAATAACATCAGTGATGATAATAATAATAACAGAAATAAGAAAACATACTAATGCTTCATAAATAGTAACAACAGCAGACAAAACAAACATAAAATAAATAATAAGAATCCAGATGTAGGTATGCTGAACATTGAAACTCACTGGGTTCAAAATGCCTTAACTATGAATGAGGCGATTGTCTTAAGAGAAACGTGTGGTTTAATCACCAGCGTAAGATTTTATGGCAGTGACAGACCACGTCTCTGCAGCTGTGGTAAAGATGAACTGGTTGGAGAGCATTCTATTCAACATGCAAAAGATGTTTTCGGAAATGCATGCTGCCAGTTTCCCAATATATGCCTGATTGCATCTTTGACAGATAATTGCATAGGTTATATTTCAGGATTCGCACATTAATGTTTCTTTAATTTGGAGAGAATAATTTTAGAAATGGCTGATATGGTCTGGATAACAAATGGACATGTTTTGCACTTAGTGCGGGAGCAACTCATCGTCCCAAAATAAGGTGCTGTGACGACTGACAGGAGTCAGCCTGTGACAAGTATATCCTTTGGATTGAGGTCTCGCCTGTAGACAACTCTGTCTAGGCTTCTAACTGAAGATCAGAGGTAGCTGAACTGGAGCGGAGGATGTCCATGTGGTGAAATAATAATTTGGAAGCATCCAGTTGTATGAAAAGCAAGTATCAGTTTAGGTTCATCATGTATGGACACCGTTGGTGGGGAAACACCTGTCTGGGTGATGGGTAGTATCTTTTTCAGAGCCTCTTGCAGAACGTCATCAGGATGCAAGTGGGCACAGAAGAAATCTAGATGCTGATATGATTTGCTTTAGAAATGAGTCATCAGACTTCAACCTGCGTTGCTGTAGTCTCTAAACATGGATCAATGCTGACCTTGAGGTCAATTAAATTATCAGAAGTGGTAGAGATTAATGGGTAAATTAGAAAACTGGACTGAAATTGTTGATGAAATGGATGAATTAATAAAGTTCACTTTTGGAGATTATGCTAATACCAACACCATCATACGTGTCCCTCGTGTATACCTCCGGAAATTTGCCTTGGTGTGCTGAACCAACCTAATATTTGAGGTGATCCATAAAAAGCCATGCGTAACAGAGCCTTTCTCGACATAAACCACAACAACAACAAGGGGCAGATTTTCCAGGCCAACTGAAAGTCACATGAATAAGTATATAAACAAATATACTGATAATTTTGTAGCCCGCCATACAATATGTCCCCTGAAATTAGGCTCGACACCATCCATGTGTCACTTTGATGTTCTCTTGCTTTTGTATCCTTTGACCTTCTCAGAATGTGCTTTCTGTTTCTCTCTGTGGACTTTGTTGGTTAATCATGCCTGAACCAGCTCTGGCTTTTTAATGTGTCTCTGGCTTTTTAATGTGTCTCTGGCTTTTTAATGTGTCTCTGGCTTTTTAATGTGTCTCTGGCTTTTTAATGTGTCTCTGGCTTTTTAATGTGTCTCTGGCTTTTTAATGTGTCTCTGGCTTTTTAATGTGTCTCTGGCTTTTTAATGTGTCTCTGGCTTTTTAATGTGTCTCTGGCTTTTTAATGTGTCTCTGGCTTTTTAATGTGTCTCTGGCAAAGCGGCAAAGACACTTGTTTCATACTCCGAATGGTCTTTTTTTTAGACTGTTGGTCGCATGCCCTTGTTTTTGAGATTGCATGGGACCCTGTTGGTAGTGTAACCCTGTTGGTAGTGTAATCCTATTGGTAATGTAATCCTATGGTAATGTAACCCTGTTGGTAGTGTAACCCTGTTGGTAGTGTAATCCTATTGGTAGTGTAACCCTGTTGGTAGTTGTCAGGCCGCTTGTTTCATGCTCCAAAGGAGTGGGTTCATTTTAGGACTTATTTGAGATCCCTGTGGGTTGTTGTAGGGTTGTAAAGTTTATCCTGTGTGCAGTCACTCCTGGCTGAGAGACCTTGACAGATCGGATCAGTATATGGACAAGTACAGCCAGCTCTCTCACCTTTAATGGACAGTTTTTGTTTTTAAATCACAATTTTATTTGTGTACAGACCATTTCTGTAACAACAGTGATCAAGCAAGACGTGGAGGAAAACAGCAAGATATTCTTCTTCACATTCCCCAGCTGTAAAATTGTGGTGGTGAAAAGTACTGGCTGTTCAGCCACTTCTGGACTTTAGTCTTGTCACAGGACTTGAGTTTTGCATGCACGTTCATTTTATTGATCTGGCTCATATATGTGTGTATGTGTGTGTGTGTGTGTGTGTGTGTGTGTGTGTGTGTGTGTGTGTGTGTGTGTATGTGTGTGTGGGAGACTGTTGGTTCCTTGCCTCTCAGGCAGACGTACTCCAGCTCTGAAGGAAAAACCTCTAATGGTCAGCTTTTATGACATGCATGTTTTTTTGTGGGAGAGGGGGGGGGGGGGGAGGGGCAGTAGGTCTGTTCTATTTCCCTCCACAATGGAGCTCTGGAACCCAAACAAGAATGATGATTACAGTTGTAACACTTTTTTTTTTTTAATGTAACAGTTCAGGAATACACGTGTTATAGCTTACATGTGTAACAGTTCAGGAATACACGTGTTATAGCTTACATGTGTAACAACAGTGTGCATGTACAACTAAAGGTGGATTTAATTTCTACATGTGAGTGCTGATATTCTGTCACCAACAGAGAAGATGTTATCATCAACAGAGAGCTGTTTAACCATCAGCCGAGAAGCTGTTCTGCTTGTGGACAGAGAAGTGTAGTGATGTGAGCAGCAGCACGTTGTTGGCACCAGCACCATGGATGAAGACGGCCAGGAATCCCAGGCTAAGAATGTGCCAGATAAAGCCAGCGAACTCGAGCAGACATCATCTGCCAGAAATGTCAGACTAAGATGGATGCTGCCTAGAACTATTTGTCATGGTCTGGTGATTTTTACCTTGGTACGTCTTTGTTCTTTACTTATTTTCAGGAAGGAAGAGTAATGGTATAAGAGTTATTGCTTAATCATGTTATGTTATCATTATCAATGTCCTTGCACACGGGGCATTCCCATGTGTGCTCAGTCCTTTGATGATGCAGTCACCCCCATAGTACCTCAGCTTATACTGTTTCCATGTGACCAGGATTCACTCAGAGTTCATGCAATCAGGTGTTAATGTCAGAGATTCATTGTATCTGCTAGTCTAGTCCATATAGCATAGACAGGCAGGCAGGCAGGCACTCAGGCAGACAGGTAGATCAGACAGAGAGATAGGACAGACAGACCAGACAGACAGACAGATTAGACAGTCAGATTAGACAGACAGATTAGACAGACAGATAGATTAGACTACAGATTAGACAGACAGACAGACAGACAGATTAGAGCAGATTTTCAAGAAATGACACTCTTCGGTACAAGTCACGAATGTCACCCGTCTCGTCAGGCGCTAGATTTTGTGTCAGCTCCCATTCATGCTGTGGCTGCTCCCATGGGCTGTCCTTTGTTGTGGGGGTGTCATGTATTCCTTGTTTTCAGTGGTTTAACTATTCTCTTTTCTCTCATGTTGTCACCGCACATTATTATTAGCAAGTTGGCCCACCTGTGCAATAGTTCATGAGTATCGAAAATGGGATGTTTTTGTATTTCTATGTTTCTTGGGGGTGGTTTCTTTTTTGGGGTGTGATGGGGCACTACCAAGGAATGAGAAATACAAAAACATCGCAGTTTCAATACTCATGAATCATTGCACCTTGAGTGCTTTCCCCTGCAGTACTTCTTACTTGTACACAGGTGCCTGTAGCAGCTCAAACAAACTCTTGACAACACAACCTGCAACAAACATTATATGCAGGCCGAACAAAGCCATCTCATAAGGTTCCCACAGAAAAGACAGCCAATAGGAACGGCCACGACATGAGTGGGAGTCGACACAAAATCTCAGGACAGACAAGATGGAGTTACATTTATGACTTGCACACACTCTTCCAATGACAGCCAATCTGGTATGCTGACTATTTTCAGGGAATGACTGTAGCCATGAGAGGCCCTTCCTTCATTGACCTTCAGCTCATCTCAGGGGCAGATGTCGAGGCTGGCTCCTACTATTTTTCAGCCAATGCACTTGGTTACGTGGTCGGTGCTTTGTTTACTGGCTGGATATATTCCAGGTTAGTCAGTTAATATTACAGCATGCAGTCCATTGTTCTAGCACATCATTCTTATACACGCCTTCATGTAAACTATAAGACATGCATAAATACTTTTTAAAACTTCAATTTATCTTTCAATAAGCTTCTTTAAACAAATTATGGCTTTCAACTATTTTTTTCTTTCAAACTGTTCCTCACACACGTCTTTATTTATTTATTTATGTCTGCCATTCTTAGAGTAGTTTACCCCTTGAGTGCTAACCAGGTGAGACTGCATTCAATGCTATACTCATGCATGATCCTCAACTGTGGAGTCCCATTCAATGGTATACTCATGCATGATCCTCTCTATGGAGTCCCATTCAATGGTATACTCATGCATGATCCTTAACTGTGGAGTCCCATTCAATGGTATACTCATGCATGATCCTCAACTGTGGAGTCCCATTCAATGGTATACTCATGTATGATCCTCTCTATGGAGTCCCATTCAATGGTATACTCATGCATGATCCTTAACTGTGGAGTCCCATTCAATGGTATACTCATGCATGATCCTCAACTGTGGAGTCCCATTCAATGGTATACTCATGCATGATCCTCTCTATGGAGTCCCATTCAATGGTATACTCATGCATGATCCTTAACTGTGGAGTCCCATTCAATGGTATACTCATGCATGATCCTCTCTATGGAGTCCCATTCAATGGTATACTCATGCATGATCCTCAACTGTGGAGTCCTATTCAATGGTATACTCATGCATGATCCTCAACTGTGGAGTCCCATTCAACTGTTATAATAACTGGTTCTATTTATATCCCATATTTCATGATCCTCAAGTACTAGGGTCGAGGTATGTAGATGTTTTTTTAATTTTTTGTTTTTAAACCTTGTTCTTGTGATTTTTGTACGACCATACAAGAGAGTTGCACCGTGAAAGAGACTGAGTCTTCGCCCCATAATATTCCCAAAGACACACTGTAGCCAACCTTTATTGTGGAGACAGAACATCATGTGAACATTTATGCTTTCCCACACAACTTTCACTTCTTTTGATAGGTTTTTTATTTAAAACTTAATTAGTGGTCAAGTGAGAAGTAAAAGTGTATGCTGCTAGCTCTGTGTCCTGCTTGTGTCCCAACACAAGACAGAGCTGACCACACTTCTGACACAAGACAGAGCTGACCACACTGCTGACACAAGACAGAGCTGACCACACTGCTGACACAAGACAGAGCTGACCACACTGCTGACACAAGACAGAGCTGACCACACTGCTGACACAAGACAGAGCTGACCAGCTGACCACACTGCAGACACAAGACAGAGCTGACCACACTGCTGACACAAGACAGAGCTGACCACACTGCCGACACAAGACAGAGCTGACCACATTGCTGACACAAGACAGAGCTGACCACATTGCTGACACAAGACAGAGCTGACCACATTGCTGACACAAGACAGAGCTGACCACATTGCTGACACAAGACAGAGCTGACCACATTGCTGACACAAGACAGAGCTGACCACATTGCCGACACAAGACAGAGCTGACCACACTGCTGACACAAGACAGCTGACCACACTGCTGACACAAGACAGAGCTGACCAGCTGACCACACTGCTGACACAAGACAGCTGACCACATTGCCGACACAAGACATAGCTGACCACACTGCTGACACAAGACAGAGCTGACCACACTGCTGACACAATACAGAGCTGACCACACTGCCGACACAAGACAGAGCTGACCGGCTGACCACACTGCTGACACAAGACATAGCTGACCACACTGCTGATACAATACAGAGCTGACCACACTGCTGACACAAGACAGAGCTGACCACACTGCTGACACAAGACAGAGCTGACCACACCGCTGACAGAAGACAGCTGACCACACTGCCGACACAAGACAGCTGACCACACTGCCGACACAAGACAGCTGACCACACTGCCGACACAAGACAGCTGACCACACTGCCGACACAAGACAGCTGACCACACTGCCGACACAAGACAGCTGACCACACTGCTGACACAAGACAGCTGACCACACTGCCGACACAAGACAGCTGACCACACTGCTGACACAAGACAGAGCTGACCACACTGCCGACACAAGACAGAGCTGACCACACTGCCGACACAAGACAGAGCTTAGAGTCAGATTTTCTAACCATGTTCCTGCCTGTCTCATCCCTACCTAGAGTGAAGGTTAAAAACAGACTGATCATTGCACCGATGCTCATCTCTGGCATCCTGTTGGCGGCTACTCCATGGTGTGCTGATTTTGTGTTGATGCTTGCAATAAATGGGGTTGTGGCCTTTTTCTGGGGCATTTATGAGACCAGTGAGTAGATTACATTGGTATTGTTGCTATCAGACTAGCAGGCACACACACCCACACATGCACACACCCACCCACACATGCACACACCCACATGCACACACCCACATGCACACACACACGCACACACCCACCCACACCCACACATGCACACACCCACCCACACACCCACATGCACACACCCACCCACACCACAGTATTGCCCTTGTATTATTGTTTATTCACAGTCTTAATCAATTTCTGTATCAATATTCTAGTCCCGGTTATGGAAATATCTTGTTCTGAATGCAGTAACTGAAGGCCATCATAACATCTTTGTTAGAAGGTGCCAGCTACATGCTATCATAGTGTCATTATATGAAAGTCACAACTGAATGCCATGATACTGTCATTGTGTGAATGTCCTAGCGGCATGCTATCATAGTGTCATTATATGAAAGTCACAACTGAATGCCATGATACTGTCATTGTGTGAATGTCCTAGCGGCATGCTATCATAGTGTCATTATATGAAAGTCACAACTGAATGCCATGATACTGTCATTGTGTGAATGTCCTAGCGGCATGCTATCATAGTGTCATTATATGAAAGTCACAACTGAATGCCATGATACTGTCATTGTGTGAATGTCCTAGCGGCATGCTATCATAGTGTCATTATATGAAAGTCACAACTGAATGCCATGATACTGTCATTGTGTGAATGTCCTAGCGGCATGCTATCATAGTGTCATTATATGAAAGTCACAACTGAATGCCATGATACTGTCATTGTGTGAATGTCCTAGCGGCATGCTATCATAGTGTCATTATATGAAAGTCACAACTGAATGCCATGATACTGTCATTGTGTGAATGTCCTAGCGGCATGTTATGATAGTGTCATTATATGAACGTCCTAACTGAATGCTATGATACTGTCATTGTGTGAATGTCCTAGCGGCATGCTATGATAGTGTCATTATATGAAAGTCCTAACTGAATGCCATGATACTGTCTTTGTGTGAATGTCCTAGCGGCATGTTATGATAGTGTCATTATATGAAAGTCCCAACTGAATACCATGATACTGTCTTTGTGTGAATGTCCTAGCGGCATGTTATGATAGTGTCATTATATGAATGTCCTAACTGAATGCCATGATAATGTCATTGTGTGAATGTCCTAGCAGCATGCTATCATAGTGTCATTATATGAAAGTCCTAACTGAATGCCATGATACTGTCATTGTGTGAAGTCCTAGCGGCATGCTATCATAGTGTCATTATATGAAAGTCATAACTGAATGCCATGATACTGTCATTGTGTGAATGTCCTAGCGGCATGCTATCATAGTGTCATTATATGAAAGTCCTAACTGAATGCCATGATACTGTCATTGTGTGAATGTCCTAGCGGCATGCTATCATAGCGTCATTATATGAAAGTCCCAACTGAATGCCATGATACTGTCATTGTGTGAATGTCCTAGCGGCATGCTATCATAGCGTCATTATATGAAAGTCCCAACTGAATGCCATGATACTGTCATTGTGTGAATGTCCTAGTCTCCTAGCAGCATGCTATCATAGTGTCATTATATGAAAGTCCCAACTGAATGCCATGATACTGTCATTGTGTGAATGTCCTAGCGGCATGTTATGATAGTGTCATTATTTGAACGTCCTAACTGAATGCTATGATACTGTCATTGTGTGAATGTCCTAGCGGCATGCTATGATAGTGTCATTATATGAAAGTCCTAACTGAATGCCATGATACTGTCTTTGTGTGAATGTCATAGCTGCATGCTATGATAGTGTCATTATATGAAAGTCCTAACTGAATGCCATGATACTGTCTTTGTGTGAATGTCCTAGCGGCATGCTATGATAGTGTCATTATTTGAACGTCCTAACTGAATGCTATGATACTGTCATTGTGTGAATGTCCTAGCGGCATGCTATGATAGTGTCATTATATGAAAGTCCTAACTGAATGCTATGATACTGTCATTGTGTAAATGTCCTAGCGGCATGCTATGATAGTGTCATTATATGAAAGTCCTAACTGAATGCCATGATACTGTCTTTGTGTGAATGTCATAGCCTGCATGCTATGATAGTGTCATTATATGAAAGTCCTAACTGAATGCCATGATACTGTCTTTGTGTGAATGTCATAGCTGCATGCTATGATAGTGTCATTATATGAAAGTCCTAACTGAATGCCATGATACTGTCTTTGTGTGAATGTCCTAGCGGAATGCTACGATAATGTGCTGTTCTTTTTTTTCCCATCCATATTTTAAACTGTGTTTCATTTTTCAGCTTTAAATGCAGAAGAAATCAAAGGTTGGGAAGGCAGCAGTTACTCAGCCATGCAGTTTCTCAGCTTCTCCTATTCTGTTGGAGGAGTTGTTGGGCCTCTGATTGTGGAGCCATTCCTTGCCCCCAAGACTTTAGATGTCATTTTAAACTCTACACATCACCAGAACATACTCTCTACCCCATCATCAATGTATGCCTCGTTATATACTCAGAATCAAACAGACCATGCATATTCAGTTAGCATGTTACTAGAGCAACATCATTCAACAGGTTCAGTGAAAGATTACTACCAACTTGATAACCGCAAGATAGTAGAGTCCCACAGTTTGTACAATTCAAGTTTTCCTAGCAGTGGAAGAGAATCACTGGCACTGAAGTCAAATATACACATTGCCTATTTTATCGGTGGCGCTATAGTTGTTCTGTGTTGTATTCCACTGTGTATAGTTCATGTTTGGACACGGAAACATCTGCCAGTCTGGCAAATGGAGGATGGTAATAAAGACACAAACCAAGGGAAATTACCCCTGTGGTTATATGTTATCTTAACAGGGGCCATAAGCATGTTTTATTTTTTCTACACAAATACTGATGACCCGTACTCTATGTATTTGTCTGTTTTTGTGGTCAGCCATCTTGACTGGAGTAAACAAGATGGAGCCATTATATCTGCTGTATTCTGGGGCTGCTCAACCGCAGCAAAACTTGTGATGATCTTGGTTGTGCGGTTTGTCAATGCTAGCGCCTTGCTGCTGCTGAGTTTATTGATGATGGTAGTCTTTATGGGCACGTTGACGGTCAGCGCACACTTTCATGTCCACTGGATGATATGGGCTTGCACAGCTGGCCTTGCCTTGTCCCAGGCTGCTGTCTTCGGTGGCGGGGTTGCTTGGGCAGATGCCAATATCCTCGCTGTCGATGGACGGGTCACTAGCTATATAATGATCTTTGCATCTCTAGGGGTTATGATCAGTCCTCTGATACTTGGTGCCACAATGAAGGAGTTGTCTCCCATGGCATTTCTGTACACACTAACCATTGCGTCTTTCTTAACATTTTCCATTTTCCTGTTCATGCTTGTGATATTAAAGCCTTATGTTGCTAAACATTATGGCAGCCCTAGGCCACAAACTGCCGACATTGTTGTACGAGAACAGCAAGAGAATTTAGTTGGTCATGAATTAAAAATGAACAATTTAGAAGTTAAATTTTCTTCAGGAAAATGAACTATTTGTTGTTTTTCCCAGTACTGTTGTGTTTTATGTCCCTGTAAGTGTTCTGTGGCAGAACAAGAATAGACCCACCTCTACATTAACAAGCAGTTTATAAAAAGTGACTAACTAGAGCAGCAGTTCTCAACCTGCAGGTCGTGACCCTTTTTTGGGTGGAACAACCCTTTCACAGGGGTTGCCTAAGACCATTGGAAAGCACTCTTTTTTGAAGTTATGAATGAAGTTTATTGTGGGTCACCACAACATGAGGGAACTGTATTAAAGGGTCACCACAACATGAGGGAACTGTATTAAAGGGTCACCACAACATGAGGGAACTGTATTAAAGGGTCACCACAACATGAGGGAACTGTATTAAAGGGTCACCACAACATGAGGGAACTGTATTAAAGGGTCACCACAACATGAGGGAACTGTATTAAAGGGTCGCACAACATGAGGGAACTGTATTAAAGGGTCACCACAACATGAGGGAACTGTATTAAAGGGTCACCACAACATGAGGGAACTGTATTAAAGGGTCACCACAACATGAGGGAACTGTATTAAAGGGTCACCACAACATGAGGGAACTGTATTAAAGGGTCACCACAACATGAGGGAACTGTATTAAAGGGTCACCACAACATGAGGGAACTGTATTAAAGGGTCACCACAACATGAGGGAACTGTATTAAAGGGTCGCAGCATTAGGAAGTTTGAGAGCCACTGAACCAGAAGTTTTCTAGTAGATCTAACAAGCAGTTCATGAAAGGTCATTGTCTAGAGGTTTCCTAACATTGGAGTCTTGGGCCAAAAGGCACAGATATCACAGCCTAGTTGTAAACCACAACAGAAGTACTGGCTGACCTTGTAAGAGTGAACACAGAAATAAACATTTCTACAGTATAGGGTCCTTGTCCTCATCATCATCAAGTGCCATTTCTACATTGAAGTTTGACTACAATGAGTCACAACACCTTATATTTTGCATCTCTATAGTCATTTCTAAGATACTTTTTTCCCATTGTCAACCCACATGTAACATTGTCTTCCTCTTGTTCAGTTCCCCTTCTGAACATTCTGTACTAAAGAACTATCTCATTAAATGGTTAAATTATGTTGATCTTTTACTCGTGTTGCCTCCATTTCTCATTTATAGTACTGTTTTCTTTTTTGTTTTTGTTTTACTTGTCTTGCCACATTTAATTCTTGCTCAGTGATCAGAGGCAGGATATTCTGTTCACAAATATTGGTGTTTGTTATATAATATTGTGTGTAAACATACATGTGTGCATATCTTTACATATATCTTGAGAATATCCATCAAATTATATATTTTAATGAATTTTTTGCCAATTATGTACTAGAAATATTCAAACCTTTTAGCATTTAACTATTTTTGTCCACATATTTTTTGGCTGCTGTAAACTGTCTAGTATGTCCTATGATATCCGCTGCCTGTCAATTTAATTTTTAGATCAATAGGACATCAAAGCAAAAGGCTTTACATTTTTGGTATCCTGATGTGCCATAATAAAAAGTAAAATTGGTTACATTAATTTATTTACTAGCAAACAAAACTAAATTCAGTGAAACTTGTGGTAATAAATGTGATAAGAAATATGTGAGAATTAAAAGAAACTTTTTACCGAACTCATGAAAATCTTTGTTTATTGTTTCACAAAAGAAGTGAATATCATGAACGTGAAAACATATACTTTCTGCGGGGTCTCCGTGATTAAGCTATCTGCCTTGTGCTGTGAAAGTCTGTTTTGCGCAACATCCTCAGCCACAATGCAGGGAGAGACTGAGAGGTAAATGGAAAGAATCCAGTGCAAGGAAGTCTATCTTCTCACCTTGGAGCTTCTGAATATAATTTCTTCGTGTTTACAGGTCCTGGGATGAGACGATACTATCTGACATGATTAATCCCAGTGACAAGATTAATAATCTCTGTGCTACTGGTAACACCATTACATTTTGATCACAATGTGAAGGTTTTCACATATTTACCTTAACATTTGATAAAATTAAGCAAACTAGCAACAAATAGCAAATGTGTGCACAGCTTATGTGACATTTTCTGCGAAAAATGTCTGTTGTGCACGTCATGTTAACAATGGCTGGGAAATATCCTGACATCTTGTCACATGTGAATATGAACACTCTGTAGAAATAATCAGATAAAAAATAACAGAACACTCTGTAGAAACAATCAGATAACAAATAACAGAACACTGTAGAAACAAGCAGGTAACAAATAACAGAAACAATGTATAAACAATCAGCTAACAAATAACAGTCTGAAGACAATAATGCTGCCAAGCAACACTGCCAGGTCATTCTATAACAGGGGTTCTCTACCTTCTTAATACCATGACCCTTCAATACGTTCTTCATGTTGTGGCCACCCCCAGCCATTCCATTATTTTCCTTGCCACTTTATAACTTCAGTAAATATGTGTTTTCCTATGGTCTTTGGCGACCCCTGTTTCAGGTTGCAACCCATAGTTTGAGAACCACTGTTCTATAAACATCAATTGTCAAAGGTCAACTTTACAACTTATTGAACCAATTTTGCAACAAATTAAAGAGAAGGAAAGTGTCTGGACTTGTGATTACACATGTTGATTATAATTTGAACAGATAAGTGAATCTTCATATGATGAGAAAGTAGATCTTAGCATTGTCCGGAATGTAGATGTTGATTTGATACTGATCAGATATGTAGATCTTAATGTAGTTATGTCTTTTCTTTTAAGTAGCTGATCAAAGAGACTTTGTCAGCAGTGTCAACTCTGCTAGGTGGGGTTGTGTTCTTGCAAAGCTGACTTTTGTCTTTTCTTTTGATCAAAGAGACTTTGTCAGCAGTGTCAACTCTGCTAGGTGGGGTTGTGTTCTTGCAAAGCTGACTTTTGTCTTTTCTTTTGATCAAAGAGACTTTGTCAGCAGTGTCAACTCTGCTAGGTGGGGTTGTGTTCTTGTAAAGCTGACTTTTGTCTTTTCTTTTGATCAAAGAGACTTTGTCAGCAGTGTCAACTCTGCTAGGTGGGGTTGTGTTCTTGCAAAGCTGACTTTTGTCTTTTCTTTTGATCAAAGAGACTTTGTCAGCAGTGTCAACTCTGCTAGGTGGGGTTGTGTTCTTGCAAAGCTGACTTTTGTCTTTTCTTTTGATCAAAGAGACTTTGTCAGCAGTGTCAACTCTGCTAGGTGGGGTTGTGTTCTTGCAAAGCTGACTTTTGTCTTTTCTCATTGACCATGTTTTCAATAAATGTTTAGTGTTTGCTGCAGTCAATGTTTAGTGTTTGCTGCAGTAAATATTTAGTGTTTGCTGCAGTCAATGTTTAGTGTTTGCTGCAGTCAATGTTTAGTGTTTGCTGCAGTAACAATCACCTGATTTTATTTTTTTTTAACAAATGATACCAGACAGCCAATTGTGAAGGGATTGTTTAAACAAATGATACCAGACAGCCAATTGTGAAGGGATTGTTTAAACAAATGACACCAGACAGCCAATTGTGAAGGGATTGTTTAAACAAATGATACCAGACAGCCAATTGTGAAGGGATTGTTTAAACAGATGATACCAGACAGCCAGTTGTGAAGGGATTGTTTAAACAAATGATACCAGACAGCCAATTGTGAAGGGATTGTTTAAACAGATGATACCAGACAGCCAGTTGTGAAGGGATTGTTTAAACAAATGATACCAGACAGCCAAATGTGAAGGGATTGTTTAAACAAATGATACCAGACAGCCAATTGTGAAGGGATTGTTTAAACAAATGATACCAGACAGCCAATTGTGAAGGGATTGTTTAAACAAATGATACCAGACAGCCAATTGTTAAGGGATTGTTTAAACAAATGATACCAGACAGCCAATTGTGAAGGGATTGTTTAAACAAATGATACCAGACAGCCAATTGTGAAGGGATTGTTTACCTTGCAGTTTTTCTGCAGACCTATTCTATATTTCTGTAAATAATCCGATTATAAACATTTCTCCAATATTAACTGAAAATTAAGTTTTTATTAGATATATTTTACAAGAATCCACACCCAAAAAAAAAAAGAAGACTCAAATGAATATCTTCTTCTTCTTCTTTCTTTGTTTGCTTAAAATAGATTATGTATATCTGTAGTGTTGTCTCTAGTATAAACTTCACTGTCTGTTGTAATTCACTCAGTGACCCGTAAAGTTTGGCTTGCACCGATGTTTCTCGTGTACATAATTTTTGCCTTGATATGTTGTACCTGGGACAGTCTTGGAGGATGTGATCTGTTGTCTCAGTTGCTAGTCCACATGTACACATGGCTGATTCATCAATCTTAAATTTTGTGTACATGTGGCTGTGAAGGCGATTAAGGCAAAGAATAATGACTTGCTCTGGTCTGTCCATAATATGGAAATCATCTTGTGCCAGTTTCGGTGGCTTTCTGATTGATTTAACTATTCGCTTCTTCTGTTGAAAACTGATTGCTACATCAGGATTTGGACCTTCCTTAGCTAGTTTATCAGCTCTTTCATTTCCAGAAACTCCACAGTGGAATGGTATTTATTGCATAGCTACCTTACACCGGTTGCCCAGTTCAGAGAGTAGTTTGCAAATACAAGGTAGTTTTCTAGATTGGAGTGCCTGAAGTAGCGCTCCTGCATCTGTCAGGAATACCACGGGTTGTGAAAGATGACATATATTTAACAGTTTCTCTGCTGCTATTTTGATGGCTTGAACTTCTGCACCATAGTTGTGACATTGCTTTCCTGTTGGTATTTTGGCTGCATATCTGGTATTATAGATGTTCAATGTACACTTCTGCTTGTGTTTTGTGCTGACCCATCCATGTAGACATGAACCTAAAGATCCTGTAGGTATTCAACATCAAGTAGACTAAGGGTTCCTGTTTTATGCTACACATTGTTTTGTTCTTCCTTGTCAAATACACCTTTCACTTCTATCTGGATGTGTAAATGAATATCTGAACAGTCAGATGTAGATATAAATAACTGGAATCCCACAGCCAGAAGATGCTGTCCAAGGTTTCTTATACCAGCCAAGAAGGTCTAGACATTTGGAAACCATTCAGTACATCACTACCTTTTGTATTATCAATTTCTAGCAACAGTTTTATAACAAGATGCACCTGTTGAGGTGGCCAGGTTTTTAGCCAGGAAGAGCTGAGATGCCCAGGCATGAATACAGCCACTGACAGCTGAACCAACAGCATTCAGGACAGTGGGCACTGTCATTCAGAGAAATGTCACTGGCATGAGACAACTGGTCAGTTTAGGAAGACAGGTCATGTTGAGTGAGAATAGGTTAGTCCAGTAGATGCTATCCTTGTACATAGTGTTCAAGAATCTCAAACAGAACAAGGCAGGTTAATGGCAACATTTGACAACACCATGTCAGGTCATGTCCTCTCATGTCACTACAATATTGACCAGGCACTTTCACATCTATGCTGCATTACACAGTAACTAGCAAACTTGCTTACTGGAACAGTGGTCATAGATCTGATTCCTCATTACAATTTTGTGATATACTTTGGTGTCCCTGAGTTAAACGAATCTTTAAAAAAACAAGATGGTATTGTAATTTTCTATGATCATACAGATCTGAAGAGAGTGGTGCAGTGGGTGTGACCAGGGAATGTGGTCAACATATAGATCTGAAGAGAATGGTGCAGTGGGTGTGACAGGGAATGTGGCCAACATACAGATCTGAAGAGAGTGGTGCAGTGGGTGTGACAGGGAATGTGGCCAACATACAGATCTGAAGAGAGTGGTGCAGTGGGTGTGACCAGGGAATGTGGTTAACATACAGATCTGAAGAGAGTGGTGCAGTGGGTGTGACCAGGGAATGTAGTCAACATACAGATCTGAAGAGAGTGGTGCAGTGGGTGTGACCAGGGAATGTGGTCAACATATAGATCTGAAGAGAGTGGTGCAGCGGGTGTGACAGGGAATGTGGTCAACATACAGATCTGAAGAGAGTGGTGCAGCGGGTGTGACAGGGAATGTGGCCAACATACAGATCTGAAGAGAGTGGTGCACGGGTGTGACCAGGAAATGTGGTCAACATACAGATCTGAAGAGAGTGGTGCAGTGGGTGTGACCAGGGAATGTGGTCAACATAAAGATCTGAAGAGAGTGGTGCACGGGTGTGACCAGGGAATGTGGTCAACATACAGATCTGAAGAGAGTGGTGCAATGGGTGTGACCAGGGAATGTGGTCAACATAAAGATCTGAAGAGAGTGGTGCAAGGGTGTGACCAGGGAATGTGGTCAACATATAGATATGAAGAGAGTGGTGCAGCGGGTGTGACAGGGAATGTGGTCAACATACAGATCTGAAGAGAGTGGTGCAGTGGGTGTGACAGGGAATGTGGTCAACATACAGATCTGAAGAGAGTGGTGCAGCGGGTGTGACAGGGAATGTGGTCAACATACAGATCTGAAGAGAGTGGTGCAGTGGGTGTGACAGGGAATGTGGCCAACATACAGATCTGAAGAGAGTGGTGCAGTGGGTGTGACAGGGAATGTGGTCAACATACAGATCTGAAGAGAGTGGTGCAGTGGGTGTGACAAGGGAATGTGGTCAACATACAGATCTGAAGAGAGTGGTGCAGTGGGTGTGACAGGGAATGTGGTCAACATACAGATCTGAAGAGAGTGGCGCAGTGGGTGTGACCAGGGAATGTGGCCAACATACAGATCTGAAGAGAGTGGTGCAGTGGGTGTGACCAGGGAATGTGGTCAACATACAGATCTGAAAAGAATGTTGCAGCGAGTGTGACCAGGAATGTGGTCAACATACAGATCTGAAGAGAATGGTGCAGCGGGTGTGACCAGGGAATGTAGTCAACATATAGATTTGAAGAGAATGGTGCAGCGGGTGTGACCAGGAATGTGGTCAACATAAAGATCTGAAGAGAGTGGCACAGTGGGTGTGACAGGGAATGTGGCCAACATACAGATCTGAAGAGAGTGGTGCAGCGGGTGTGACCAGGGAATGTGGTCAACATAAAGATCTGAAGAGAGTGGGGTAAGGGTGTGACAGGGAATGTGGTCAACATATAGATCTGAAGAGAATGGTGCAGCGGGTGTGACCAGGAATGTGGTCAACATAAAGATCTGAAGAGAGTGGTGCAGCGGGTGTGACCAGGGAATGTGGTCAACATATAGATCTGAAGAGAGTGGTGCACGGGTTGACAGGGAATGTGGTCAACATACAGATCTGAAGAGAGTGGTGCAGTGGGTGTGACAGGGAATGTGGTCAACATACAGATCTGAAGAGAGTGGTGCAGCGGGTGTGACCAGGAATGTGGTCAACATACAGATCTGAAGAGAGTGGTGCACGGGTGTGACCAGGGAATGTGGTCAACATACAGATCTGAAGAGAGTGGTGCAGCAGGTGTGACCAGGGAATGTGGTCAACATACAGATCTGAAGAGAGTGGTGCAGTGGATGTGACCAGGAATGTAGTCAACATACAGATCTGAAGAGAGTGGTGCAGCGGGTGTGACAGGGAATGTGGCCAACATAAAGATCTGAAGAGAGTGGTGCAGTGCGTGTGACCAGGGAATGTGGCCAACATTAAAAACTCAGGGATAAGGCAAGATTGACATATGATCAGACAGTTACTGGTACCATCAGAACTGAAACTGTGTGCTAGCTGCTGAAGATGAGGTTGCAGCACTTATGGGAATGTCCCAAGTGCTGTGATGTCAGCGTTTAACTCAACTTAAACCATACATAGAAGCAATGATACTGTTGATAATCTCATGAAAAGATACAGAGATAGGCAGATAGAGCAACATGTCTACTGGAAATTAATTAACGTATGAAACAGACAGATAGGTGGCCCTCCAAACACAGACTTCATACAAAGTGATACATTAAGCTCAAGTATAAAATCATCTGAGGCACAAAACTTTTTTATGACAATAATAAAACAGTATAAAACAGTAAAGATTGTCTTCACCCACACAAGCAGTCACACAAGACAGGAATAACTTTCAGTGATGTGGCATGGTCTAGACCAGGGATTTTCAACTGGTGGCCCTCAGGCTAAATCTGGCTCCCAGAGGCCTAGCAAGCAGCCCACGGATCACTGCCAGTTGTATTGCCTGAATGATCTTTCTATGTTGAGGCTTTGGCCGGTGGCAATGCTCATTTTCAAAACTGTGGCCCTGAGTAAACTTTGCTGAACAGCCCAGTTCTAGACTTAGATTTGACTTGCCACAACACAGAAACACAATGGCACATTCACATTTGCTGCAATGTTTTGTTAGTTTGGCTTGTGTTGTTAGAAAATGCCCATATCTTTTCTGGACTGGAGGACAACATCTGGGTTCTCTTCTAGCAACTCCTCATACTGCTGAGCTACAGACGGAAGGGAACATGTTTCATAGGAGTTACCATTCCTGTCTACTTGCACTCCTAGCTCCGGCTTGTCTGTGTCTTTGTGCTGAATTCGAATCTAAGAATAAAAAAAGAAATGATTACCCTGTCTAATGTTGCAGATGAACAGATCATAAGTGTAAAAAAAAATGTGTCAGAATTTGTGATTTAACAACACTTGTGACCTGTCCACATGTGTTCAGTCTCCCTCAGATGTACAAGAGTACTGCAATAAATATATTTATATCATCCACTCATGCCAGAAATATCTAGACTGAAGGTTTTAGTGCAGAGAAAGACAAGAAATGATGACTGCCTCAGGGAGTGGAGGCTCTGAAAGACACATGAGAGCCACAATAACAGAAGTGGTTCACTCTCATGCTGCCCGTTATTTTTGTATATGCTCCATTCTGCTCTGACATACAAGGTCTGACAATTAAGTAATGAGACTGATTTTAAAACTTCCTTTTAAAATGGACGCTAGACAGCGGCGCTGTTCGAAGCAGAGGCGAATTTTTTGCTTCTTCCGGACGGTGGCCGAAGTATTTTTGCTCCATTTGTAGACTGGATGTAGTTTTGTCGCCCAGCTTCTGAGATGAATGCATGGCGTGACCCTGTGAGCTGTGGATTGCATTTGGAATGTTTTTTCGACTGTGACCAACGTGGTGGTGTGAATTGTAGATTCAGAAAATGGCGTGATGCCGGTCGTTTAATGTTGGCGGTGCCCGTATGTGATTACAATTGATCGCGTGGGCAACTGCTGATCTGTTGGCGACAAATTCTGCTATCATCAATGATGAATTGCATTTCTAATGTTGGACTGTTTGTGCTAGCACTTCGGATGGCTACCTTATGCTTTAATGCGAGTGTATGATAGATATGCTGAGACAGCAGCCTGTCAATCTTTCCACAAAGGACTGTGATAAACATTCTGTGTGTTTTTCGTTGGCACAGGAGCGGAGCAAAGATGGGGCGACCCGTTTGCTATGAAGCTGAAACTAAGACTACCAGACTACCAGAGACTGATTTTATTATGGCTAAGACAAAAACGCCATCTATGAGTCACAGCACAACCTTCCTCTATGATCTGGCGACTTGTCATCACCGCCCCATAAGCATACAACAAACAAGCTGCCATTTTTTAACCTAGTCAGAGGTGCACTATTACGTAATCTGCATGGAGAAAAAAAGCTAAAATTAAATTCTGTTTAAAACTCAGAAAAAGTGCAATTTCAACAGTTGAACTGATGCCACAAGTTTATGGGGATAATTGTTTATCTTGTGCACAGATTTGCAGCTGGTATTCACGATTCGAAAGTGGTGTGGAAATGATTACTAATGCAACTAGACCTGGATGGCCAATTTCTGTTCGTAATGTGGAAATCATTGCAAAATTCTGAGAACGGATACAAAAAGATCTTTGTTCGACTATGAGGATGATGATAGATGAATCTGGTGTTAATACAGGGACTATTGGTAAAATTTTAGTGAAAGATTTGGGGAAGAAAAAAGTTGCTTGCTGGTTTGTATTCAACACCTGGCAATTTGTTTCTTCTTCATGACAATGCACCATCCCAAAGGGCCGTAGTACAGGAATTTTTGACCCAAAAACAAGTGTGTGTTCTTAACCATCCACCCTATTCCCCGGATTTGTCTCCCTGTGACTATTTTCTATTCCCAAAATTAAAGTTGCCATTTAAAGGAGGCTTCTTTGACGATATTGATGACATCCAAAGGGCCATAACAACAGAAGAATGACAGAGGTTGTTCCAGGGTTTGTTAGATCGTGATACCTACTGTATCAATGCAAAAGGGGCTTACTTTGAATAAAATACAGGTTATATCTTAAACTGTTGATTTTTAAAATGTTTATGGAATTCGTCTCATTACCTAATTGTCGGACCTTGTAATCTGGTCCTTTGGTCTAGCTGTGAATATTTCTATGCAGATCTGTTCATGTGTATAATCATCCTCTCGGTGATATCCCATTTTATCTACCTTTTTCCAACTCTTTGCTGCCTCTACAACATTCTCTACATTCTGTCACATTTTACAAGGACTAGTGCCATTTCCATCAGTCTACACCTGTAGGCATTCCATCTTCAACTCATGACTGTCTGCACCTGAAAACTACGAGCCTACACATACATAGAGAGGGAGACTAAAATAAGAAACAATCAGATAAACATACTAACATATAAAAGCGAGAGGTGTGATGAGGTGCTTTGCATGGTCTCCATGCTCACAGCAAGTCGAGCAGAAAATCCCTGCGACAAACGACTGCAAGAGATACTTGGGGCTAGAAGGGTAAGCGAGGGGAAGTCTGAGGTGGACTCGTGGTCAGTTGCGTACCAGAATTGGAAGAAGACAGTCATGATGTCATTGATGTAGTCTGAATGAAGTGTAGTCAATGCTGAGTAAATAATTATTGTGGCATAGCGATAATTGTGTTTAAACAATTGTAATGGAATAGGAGAAATAAACTGGCAGAAGGTATACTGGAATTTGAGCGGTGTTCCAGTGTTATCAATTGTTGAAAGCTGTATTTGTTCCAGAGTAAACAAGCTATATTTAAAGTGAGCCGGCCTTCTTACAACAGGGACAGAGAAAGAATAAAAAGAAGCAGAGACATTAAAGTGAGGGAGAAAGCCAAAATCAGAGAGTGAGAGAGAGAGAGAGAGAGAGAGAGAGAAAGAGAGAGAGAGACTAAAATGAGAGCCAGAGACAGAGAAATAGACAGAGCGAGAGACTTAAGAAATACTTATACACATACAAGCAGGTACAGAAACTCTACTGTAAGGAATCAACAGTAGACTAAGGACCTACTATTTTCATGTGCCAGAAGTGATTTAGAAACTATATTTCTCACAGAGCCAGTAGTGGGCAAAGTCAATGCTGGAAAAATCTGGACACGAATCAGGGTTTTGTTATTTGGTTAATGTTACGGTAATGCAGTGACTTACGTGGTCTCTGGAGACAACAGATGGACATTCTGTGAAGTAGTTGTATGGCAGCAGGAAAAATGTCAGATGGTTGCCTGGTGTGGGTGTCAGAGGAAGGTCTTCTGTATGTGGGATGTGGTGTAGGCCAAGGTTAATCCAAAAAACTAGATCCTAGAAACAAAACAAAAATGTGATATAAATGGATGTATTATAAACTATTAAAAGAAACATGAAAACTTGCATTATATCTAGATATCTCTTGTGATCTAGATTTGAACACAGTGAGTTTATCTTTATTCTATCTGTTGATGTTTTGTTATTTGTTTATGGTTGTCAATGTTTAGAAACGTCAAACCTCTATGTTAACTTAAAAATATCAATGTAAGGTCATGACTCAAAGTTCTGCAGCATGATTTCTACTGTAGGGCATTAGCTCAATAGTCATTTGTTAATACATCACTTTAGCTGTGCTACACTAAACTCAGTATTTGTGAAGATACATCACTTTAGCTGTGCTACACTAAACTCAGTGTTTGTGAAGATACATCACTTTAGTTGTGCTACACTAAACTCTAGTGTTTGTAAAGATACATCACTTTAGCTGTGTTACACTAAACTCAGTATTTGTGAAGATACATCACTTTAGCTGTGCTACACTAAACTCTAGTGTTTGTGAAGATACATCACTTTAGTTGTGCTACACTAAACTCTAGTTTTTGTGAAGATACATCACTTTAGCTGTGCTACACTAAACTCAGTGTTTGTGAAGATACATCACTTTAGTTGTGCTACACTAAACTCTAGTGTTTGTGAAGATACATCACTTTAGCTGTGTTACACTAAACTCAGTATTTGTGAAGATACATCACTTTAGCTGTGCTACACTAAACTCTAGTGTTTGTGAAGATACATCACTTTAGCTGTGTTACACTAAACTCTAGTGTTTGTGAAGATACATCACTTTAGCTGTGTTACACTAAACTCTAGTGTTTGTGAAGATACATCACTTTAGCTGTGTTACACTAAACTCTAGTGTTTGTGAAGATACATCACTTTAGCTGTGCTACACTAAACTCTAGTGTTTGTGAAGATACATCACTTTAGTTGTGCTACACTAAACTCTAGTGTTTGTGAAGATACATCACTTTAGCTGTGCTACACTAAACTCTAGTGTTTGTGAAGATACATCACTTTAGCTGTGCTACACTAAACTCAGTGTTTGTGAAGATACATCACTTTAGCTGTGTTACACTAAACTCTAGTGTTTGTGAAGATACATCACTTTAGCTGTGCTACACTAAACTCAGTGTTTGTGAAGATACATCACTTTAGCTGTGCTACACTAAACTCTAGTGTTTGTGAAGATACATCACTTTAGTTGTGCTACACTAAACTCAGTGTTTGTGAAGATACATCACTTTAGCTGTGTTACACTAAACTCTAGTGTTTGTGAAGATACATCACTTTAGCTGTGCTACACTAAACTCTAGTGTTTGTGAAGATACATCACTTTAGCTGTGCTACACTAAACTCTAGTGTTTGTGAAGATACATCACTTTAGCTGTGCTACACTAAACTCAGTGTTTGTGAAGATACATCACTTTAGCTGTGCTACACTAAACTCTAGTGTTTGTGAAGATACATCACTTTAGCTGTGCTACACTAAACTCAGTGTTTGTGAAGATACATCACTTTAGCTGTGCTACACTAAACTCTAGTGTTTGTGAAGATACATCACTTTAGCTGTGCTACACTAAACTCTAGTTTTTGTGAAGATACATCACTTTAGCTGTGTTACACTAAACTCTAGTGTTTGTGAAGATACATCACTTTAGCTGTGCTACACTAAACTCAGTATTTGTGAAGATACATCACTTTAGCTGTGCTACACTAAACTCTAGTGTTTGTGAAGATACATCACTTTAGTTGTGCTACACTAAACTCTAGTGTTTGAGAAGATACATCACTTTAGCTGTGCTACACTAAACTCAGTGTTTGTGAAGATACATCACTTTAGCTGTGCTACACTAAACTCAGTATTTGTGAAGATACATCACTTTAGCTGTGCTCAGTATTTGCACATGTCATGAACATACAGCAGAGAAATCATAGGAGAGAAATGTTTGAAAAATATTAAGATACGCTCGAGCAGCATAGGGATATTTAGCTGAGAAACAGGGCATATATCGACAAGAAATGTTAGGGTATATACGGCATAAAAACATTAGATTTTTGGTTGAGAAATATAAGAACACATGGCTGAGAAATGTAAGAAAATATGGCTGAGAAATGTTCTAATACATAGTTGAGAAATTTTAGAATATATGGCTCAGAAATATTAGCTATATGGCTGAGAAATATTAGATATATGGCTGAGAAATATTTGTTTCACTTTCATGACCACTAAAAATGTTTTTAGCCAGTTTCTGATTAAGACTCACAAATTCTTATTCATTGTTCTATTCACTCATAATCATGGCACAGGAATTCTGACACACTGTTCTACTGACCTGATCAACAATATTCTCATCATCCTCATAGAACTTGGTGAAGTCCGTGACTGGGTTGAAACTGTCCCACATGGCATAAGGAGAACTGGACACCTGCTCATTGTCCTTGTGTTTGGTGACCACCAGTTGATGGCGTGCCCAGGGCAAAGCCACTTCATTGTCCACTCCTTCGGGCAGCAGCTGCTTCGACATTCCATTCAATGCGATCCTAAAACACAGAAATTGTCATGTGTGTACAACACACAAAACTACAACAATGGCAAGAAAAATGATATAATGCTACGTGAAGAAAGAAGACCCAAGTGTTGTACTTCTTGGAGACTCATAGTTTCTGTTCTCTACTGTGTTTCCAAAACTAAGACCTAATATTATATTAATTGTTGCTTGAAACGATGCCTTATGACTTTTTTCAAGGGAATATCTTTTTCATGTACAAAAATCTGGTTTTATTACCAATTACTAAAAGAATTAACGACAATAATACTATTAATTTATACTTATTTATTTACTAATAATCTTACAATTCTTTACATCCATTATGAGTTTTGAGAAAAATCTTTCTAGCTAATTATTTTAAGTAGGGCTTACAGTTAGGATACTAGTTATTCTAAATAATCATGCTAGGACTTATTTTCAGGGCAACATAGTAGATCCTTCCAGAAAATGGCTAGAATAAGAAGAAACTCCACAGGGGAGCATGTACAGCAGGAGTCTACCAATCATCAGTAGAAGTGATCCCTCGTCAACAAATGTTTCGGCCCACAAGCTCCTAGACAATTTCAGAGAGTGGGCCCACCTGAGTTCATGAAGCTCAGGCTTGATCTGCTCCTGCTGCACATATTACCGGATGTTCTCAGACAGGGACTAGACAAAATTGGTGACTGTACAAAAGGTACTGTGAGATTCGAAGTTTACTTACATAGTCACTGTGGTAGCATAATTAGAGCAGTTAGCATACCTAGACAACCAAGTGGCAAGCTTACGGTTGGTTTATCACCATCTTAGATATGTGGAAAAGGATAACTGCATAAGTGAAATAGAAATCAAAAGATAATAGGAATAGCCAAGAACAATTGTTCCAACTCAACTGCACCAGCTGAACATCTCATAATGTTCTCAGGAGGAATAGATAGAGGAACTAATGAGATAATCCAGTAAGAAAAAGATGTCTTTTCAGTCAATCAATCAATTGATACACAAACCATAAAATAAAACACAAAATAATAATAAACACAGATGAAGGTTGACAAATGGTCCCAGTCTCTCCCCTAAAGCTCAAAGCTATGACCTCTGGCCCCCACCTCAAAGATCAACACAGTTTTGTCTCCCCCCCCCTCCCCGAGGTCAAAACTGTGCCCTACAATGATCATACCTGTGCCCCTGAATTCCAGAACTGCCATTTACAGTTTGTGCCATTCTTAATTGCCTGGATGGCACTACATCTGTATATGATGCAACACACTGACACTACATCTGTATATGATGCAACACACTGACACTACATCTGTATAAGATGCAACACACTGACACTACATCTGTATGTGATGCAACACACTGACACTACATCTGTATAAGATGCAACACACTGACACTACATCTGTATAAAATGCAACACACTGACACTACATCTGTATAAGATGCAACACACTGACACTACATGTGTATGTGATGCAACACACTGACACTACATCTGTATAAGATGCAACACACTGACACTACATCTGTATGTGATGCAACACACTGACACTACATCTGTATAAGATGCAACACACTGACACTACATCTGTATAAGATGCAACACACTGACACTACATCTGTATAAGATGCAACACACTGACACTACATGTGTATGTGATGCAACACACTGACACTACATCTGTATAAGATGCAACACACTGACACTACATGTGTATATGATGCAACACACTGACACTACATCTGTATATGATGCAACACACTGACACTACATCTGTATATGATGCAACACACTGACACTACATCTGTATATGATGCAACACACTGACACTACATGTGTATATGATGCAACACACTGACACTACATCTGTATAAGATGCAACACACTGACACTACATCTGTATAAGATGCAACACACTGACACTACATCTGTATGTGATGCAACACACTGACACTACATCTGTATGTGATGCAACACACTGACACTACATCTGTATAAGATGCAACACACTGACACTACATCTGTATAAGATGCAACACACTGACACTACATCTGTATAAGATGCAACACACTGACACTACATCTGTATAAGATGCAACACACTGACACTACATCTGTATAAGATGCAACACACTGACACTACATCTGTATGTGATGCAACACACTGACACTACATCTGTATAAGATGCAACACACTGACACTACATCTGTATAAGATGCAACACACTGACACTACATCTGTATAAGATGCAACACACTGACACTACATCTGTATAAGATGCAACACACTGACACTACATCTGTATAAGATGCAACACACTGACACTACATCTGTATATGATGCAACACACTGACACTACATCTGTATAAGATGCAACACACTGACACTACATCTGTATGTGATGCAACACACTGACACTACATCTGTATATGATGCAACACACTGACACTACATCTGTATATGATGCAACACACTGACACTACATCTGTATATGATGCAACACACTGACCTGAAAGCTTTGATTTCATCAAAATTGGTTTTCCTGGCCTCATTGTGCACTACGTGGTATTTGGGTGTTTCAAAGTTAAACTTATAAAGTGCATCCTTCTCAGTCTGTTTGAGAATCTTGTCATAGCGGATCTGATGGTAGTTCTGTCCAGGTTGCTGTAGAAGTAGAACAAACAAAAACATTAAAAACAACATTTACTGATTCCTTCTTCTCCTTCTTCACATTCACCAGCTGTAAACTCCAGCTGTAAACTCCAGCTGTAAACTCCGGCTGTAAACTCCAGCTATAAACTCCAGCTGTAAACTCCAGTAGAATGTTCTGTTGTTCATCCCCTCCCGGACTTTAGTCTTGTACCAGAACTTGAGTTTTGTGTGCACGTCTGTTTGACAGATCTGGCTCATTTGTATACAGATACTCTCTGATCAAATCTTGCCTAACAGGAATTAGTTTCATTTTTTATGCCAGGGCACCCTGTGCTTTGAGGCAATGATCGAGCAGATTGACTTGCAGGTAGGGCCATGATAGGTACAGGACAAGCAATAAATAGAGCCAGTATTCTCAATGCTCTCAAGAAGGCAGGACGAGTAGATAATTCCGGAGATAATGATAAATCAGCAATGTTAAACAGACTAACCAGGAATTCAGATCAAAAGAAGTAATGCCAGTCATGAACACTATAAGGGGAGCGAAAGAAGAATAGTAAACCAATACAGAACTGGTGTTATCAGGCGTCACATGCTGAGGGATAGGCTGAAGATAGGATCCCAGTTATTATGGACTTGTCCCATGTGCTATTTCAAAGGAAAATATCAAATTAGTTGACATTTATGATATGTTTGTTAGCAAGACCATTTGCGCCAACAGTGAGCTGCATTTCTAGTGTGGGACCATTAATGTTGCTACATGTCACAGATGCCTTATGCATTTTTACTTGCATGTGCAGAATTCAAGATTTTGCAGAGACTGACAGGTTTTTTACTAGTTTGAAGCTGGGACATTGAATGACATTGTGTGCGATTTCCACTGTCCCTGTAACAGAGCAGCTATGAGGCCACTTGTTTGCGGTGATGCTGGAACCTCGACTACTGACTAACAACTGGCTTGATATGTTTACTTCCTTTGTGAGTGATAGACACTAGAAGCATGTTCCCACATAGTTAGTCATTTACCTAGTTATGGCATACAATGAGAAATGTCACTGTTGTCTTCCCTTTTATGATGATCTCATATTGTGAGTTATCTAACCTAGAATGAAGGGATAATCTCATATTGTGAGATGATCTACCCTAGAATGATGAGATGATCTCATATTGTGAGTTATTTATCCTAGAATGAGGGGATGATCTCATATTGTGAGTTATCTACCCTAGAATGATGAGATGATCTCATATTGTGAGTTATCGACCCTAGAATGATGAGATGATCTCATATTGTGAGTTATCTATCCTAGAATGATAAGATGATCTCATATTGTGAGTTATCTATCCTAGAATGAAGGGATGATCTCATATTGTGAGTTATCTACCCTAGAATGATGAGATGATCACATATTGTGAGTTATCGACCCTAGAATGATGGGATAATCTCATATCAAGAGTTATCTACCCTAGAATGATGAGATGATCTCATATTGTGAGTTATCTATCCTAGAATGATGGGATAATCTCATATTGTGAGTTATCTATCCTAGAATGATGGCATGATCTCATATTGTGAGTTATCTATCCTAGAATGATGGGATGATCTCATATTGTGAGTTTTCTACCCTAGAATGATGAGATGATCTCATATTGTGAGTTATCTATCCTAGAATGAAGGGATGATCTCATATTGTGAGTTATCTACCCTAGAATGATGAGATGATCTCATATTGTGAGTTATCGACCCTAGAATGATGGGATGATCTCATATCAAGAGTTATCTACCCTAGAATGATGAGATGATCTCATATTGTGAGTTATCTTTCCTAGAATGATGGGATAATCTCATATTGTGAGTTATCTATCCTAGAATGATGGGATAATCTCATATTGTGAGTTATCTATCCTAGAATTATGGGATAATCTCATATTGTGAGTTATCTATCCTAGAATGATGAGATGATCTCATATCAAGAGTTATCTACCCTAGAATGATGGGATGATCTCATATCAAGAGTTATCTACCCTAGAATGATAGGATGATCTCATATTGTGAGTTATCTACTCTAGAATGATGAGATGATCTCATATAAAAGTTATCTACCATAGAATGTTGACCTCATATGGTGAGCTATCTACTCTAGAATCTTGATCATTGCAAAATATGTTTCTAGCAAGATCTACATGTGACCACTCACCTGTCTAAGCTCAACTGTCTCGGCGCTGATGTTGAGTATTTCATACCTGTTGCTGGTGCCATGAATGTCAATGTCAGCCTTAAAGTGGAACAGGTGGTGATGGATGTTGCCTATAATATTGTCCTCAATTTTAAAACCGTAGGGAGACTCTTCTCTTGTGTAAAACGAAGGGAAAATATACCCTGTAATATGGGGGAGGGGGGGGGGGACAGACAATTCTGTTAATGAAATAGTTAGTGGTAGCTGGCCCTCTGAAACATGAAAATAAATATATAAAGCGTACATTTGTTATTTGTTGTCTGTAACAACATCCTAGCACATCGATCCAAGGTATTTATGCTCTGTCCTTCCATGCAGCAGTCATCTCAGTGTCTCTATACTCTCTGCACCCAGGAGGAGTTGACTGGCAGATCTTCTTTCTTCAGCCCACATCTCAGTGTCTCCATGTTCTCTGTACCCAGGAGGAGTTTACTGGCAGATCTTCTTTCTTCAGCCCACATCTCAGTGTCTCCATACTCTCTGCACCCAGGAGCAGTTGACTGGCAGATCTTCTTTCTTCAGCCCACATCTCAGTGTCTCCATACTCTCTGCACCCAGGAGGAGTTGACTGGCAGATCTTCTTTTTTCACCCCTCAACCGGTTTCTGCATGCTTGTCCTCTGTTAATAGCCATTTCCAGCAAGAGGTTCATTGTCGCCAACTCCCTTGTCTCAAAGTCTCCAGAACGCAGCACTTTTAGCATGTCTGCCCTATTCACACTTCTTCACTAACTACTCCGTTCACTTTTATAAATTAATTCTTTCTGTTCCATAAATTTGTTAGTTTTAAAGTAATATTTGTGGTGAGATGTAGTTAGAGTAATAGAGCCATGAGATGTAGTTAAGAGTAACAGTGCCATGAGATGTGGTTAGAGTTACAGAGCCATGAGATGTAATTAGTTAAAATAACAGTGCTCACAATATCCTTTGCTCATCGCTCAAATGTACGAGTACAGGACAGACTGTAAGCGAGATGACAGCAGAGTCTAAGAATGCACACAGCAAGAATGCACACAGCAAGAATGCACACAGCAAGATTGCACACAGCAAGATTGCACAAATAGATTTATTCACAGAGATGATGACAAATCCTAACTGGCAGCTTTCTAGCACTCAACACACAGTATGAAATGTACCCTTGTGTGCCATACTGCGGAAGACAACTAACATGACATATAGATCTGGTTAAATACCCAGAGCAAAGTTTATGTTATGTTTTTACTATCAATGCCCCTACCCCTTTGGCATTCTCATGCATGCTCTGTCTTCTCATGCAGCAACCACTCCAAGGTACCTCTACTGACCGTTTCCATGGGGAGTTGGTACCGCTCCAACGTACTTCTACTGACTGTTTCAATGAGGGGTTGTTATCCCATGCTTAAATACTATTTTGCAAATACATGTCAACTAGATTATTAAAAATAAAGCAATACATGTGCTTGCTTAATTACAGTTGTTCAGATAGCTAGTACAGTAATAACTCTTCAATGACCATTGGTCAATATCAGAGCTGATATTCTCCAAGCATGTGAGACTAAGGGTTAGGCTGTATAGCTATTTTGCAAAGAAACTTTGAAAATATATCACCTCCAAACTTTCACCTAAAATAAACACGAAAGAGAAGCAACACATGCTACACAAAACATGAACATTCTCACTTGCACGAGGTCAGTCAGTCAATCTTTAAAGTGGGCAGAAAGAGGTGGACATGAGAAGTCTGAGAAGCTGATTTCAATATCACATGTTACTGAGATAGTTAGCAGAAAGCAGAGACTTCTTTTTACTCTTATGCCTTTGTTCCCCCCCCCCCCCCCCTCATGTTCACATTGAGCCATTACTTTGCTATTTCCTGTCGCTTCCTCTATGTTTTCCCTACATTATTATCCACCCAAAGTATTTCAGGATCTTTGTCGATGCTATATTTTGTGCACTGTGCTGAGATTCTTCTGACTCTGGTTTGAGTTAGAAGTAGAATGGAGCACTTCTGAGTTACTATCCTTGTGCCAAGATGTTAAGTCGCCATCTAAACCTCTATTTCTTTTGACCTGTGGGTCCCAGGGAAAGCACTTCTTGTTACTAGGATTTTTACCGTGTGTGTAGGGATTTCTCTGCAACTTTTGATGTGCTGGAATTTATTTAGTTCTCTCAAGAAGCTTCACACTAAAGATGTTGTTTTATCACTGAGGCCTATTCTGAACAACATATTGTAATTATTGTATTTATGCACCACATTTCTGGTCCATGCTGCAGTCACTGATATGTTTATGCACCACATTTCTGGTCCATGCTGCAGTCACTGATATGTTTATGCACCACATTTCTGGTCCATGCTGCAGTCACTGACATGACAATGAAGCTAAATATTTGAATTCTGAGAGGCCACAGACCACTAGCAATAAATAACAAGCTTTAGAAACTGGAGTAGTGTAGATTCCAGTATTCACTGGCTGTAAAAGACAAAAAAACAATTACAAAAACGAGGAAGGCTTCAATGTGTGGTTAACCAGTCCACAATTTGACAGTCAGCATCCGTCCCTTTCAACATTTGCTGGGAGATGACAGAGCACTTATAGATTTACATGAGAGTACAGTGACATTGATTCTTCTCCTTTGTCCTTATTTTCTTCTTGGTGCTCACCATCGGTCAATTCTGGCAGAAAGTTCTGACTTTTCAACCACCTCTAGACTGCCGGTCAGGCAGATGCACTCTGACTTTTAAGGATGCCCTCAATTAGCGGAATCCTACAACATGCTTGTTGGGGAGGCAGTGGGTCTAATCATTTGCCCCACAATTGGTCCCTGGATCCTACATGGGGAACATAGTTCTATATTATGATTACATTCATGACTGGAGACAATGACCCTTGACTATTCTAGAAAGTGTGTGGCTGGTACATTATTTTTTGTATTCAGTACATGTACATGTGACGTGTTGTATATGTATGTGTTATGTCCAGTACATACACATGTTATGTGCATCATTACATATCGTATGTGTTGCTATGACATGACCCACCTGTGCTCATCACTCTAGTCTCCACCACACCGTTCTGGTGAAACATGAAGTCAAACACATAGTCATAGTTGACCACAGTGACCACACTTCTGAGGGTCAGCACAGAGTCCAGCATGCCACCGTAGAAGGCTCCCTCATAATGTGAGTAGGACAGATGTCGTCTCAAGGGGTAGCCATTGTTGTTCTCAAACAGACAGAATGATCGTACCAACTCTACAGGTTCATCAACTGCTTGACCTGAAAATGTCTGTGGAAAACATTTATTATCATCAGACAGCTGAAGACTCTTATCTTCTACAACGATGTTTCAAACTACTATAGGGCATATAGTCAGGGAAGTAAAGGGCATACCTTTCATTGTGCTACCACCTCTCCCAGTGTGCTACTTAAGCACCCATTGTGCTACCACAATACCCATTGTGCTATCACAGTACCCAATGTGCTACCACAGTACCCATTGTGCTACCACAGTACCCATTGTGCTTCCACAGTACCCATTGTGCTACCACAGCACCCATTATGCTACCACAGTACGCACTGTGCTACCACAGCACATATTATGTTACCACAGTATCAATTGTGCTACCACAGCACCCATTATGCTACCACAGCACCCATTATGCTACCACAGTACCCATTGTGCTAGCACAGTAGCTATTGTGCTACCACAGCACCCATTATGCTACCACAGTAGCTATTGTGCTACCACAGCACCCATTATGCTACCACAGTAGCTATTGTGCTACCGCAGCACCAATTATGCTACCACAGTACCCATTATGCTACCACAGTAGCTATTGTGCTACCGCAGCACCAATTATGCTACCACAGTACCCATTATGCTACCACAGTACCCATTATGCTACCATAGTACCCATTGTGCTACCACACCACCCATTATGCTACCACAGCACCCTTTATGCTACCATAGTACCTATTATGCTACCACAGTAGCCATTATGCTACCACAGCACCCATTATGCTACCATAGCACTGATTGTGCTTTTGGTGGTTTCCAACTTCATGATTAGGAGTCACACACCTGTTTAGGCAGTGATGTAGATAATGATAGGCTAGCGGATACCAATATTTTAATATGAATTTAAAAGGCATGAGAAGTTTTCAAAGCCTTCGGAAGCTTTGCATATTTCAAAGGACATTAACTCTTTTAGTCCAAACGAACGCATCATACGTTCATAGGTTCCTACTAAGAAGCCCAGTGAAAGCAAGATGCGCCGATTTTAGATTTCTGTTGACTACACATTGGACCTCTGATGCTAAACCCCCTGGGACTCAAGAGTTAAACTACTATCAAACTTAGAATATTGAACTGTGATCTTACTAACGCCAAATCAGTACTGCAGTCTGTCTGGAGCTAAAACATGGAGAACAACTAAAACAATCACTAATAAACTACAAACATTCATTAACTGGTGTCTGTGCAGAATTGAGGGAGTTAAATGATACGATAGAATAATTAATGTGGAGATTTGGAAGAGAACTAAACAAGTTAAAGTGGACCAAGAGGTGAGGAAAAGATGTTGATGTTGGATGGGACACAACACTGAGCAAGCCTGGTCTTTACAATGGAACTCCCAGTTGTAAAGAAATAAAACAGCCAAAAACACACAGAGAATTGAAATAGAGAATGAAGTTAACAACATGAGGAGAACATGGAGGGAGCTGCAGGAGATTTAAAAGGACAAGTCAACTGGGCATGAGATGGTTGAGGGCTGGGCATGAGATGATGGAGGGCTGGTATGAGATGATGGAGGGCTGGTATGAGATGGTTGAGGGCTGGTATGAGATGATGGAGGGCTGGTATGAGATGATGGAGGGCTGGTATGAGATGATGGAGGGCTGGTATGAGATGATGGAGGGCTGGTATGAGATGATGGAGGGCTGGTATGAGATGATGGAGGGCTGGGCATGAGATGGTTGAGGGTTGGGCATGAGATGATTGAGGGCTGGGCATGAGATGGTTGAGGGCTGGGCATGAGATGATTGAGGGCTGGGCATGAGATGGTTGAGGGCTGGGTATGAGATGATGGAGGGCTGGGCATGAGATGGTGGAGGGCTGGGCATGAGATGGTGGAGGGCTGGGCATGAGAGGGTTGAGGGCTAGGCATGAGATGATTGAGGGCTGGGCATGAGATGGTTGAGGGCTGGGCATGAGATGGTTAAGGGCTGGGCATGAGATAGTTGAGGGCTGGGTATGAGATGGTTGAGGGCTGGGCATGAGATGATTGAGGGCTGGGCATGAGATGGTTGAGGGCTGGGCATGAGATGGTTGAGGGCTGGGCATGAGATGATTGAGGGCTGGGCATGAGATGGTTGAGGGCTGGGCATGAGATGATTGAGGGCTGGGCATGAGATGGTTGAGGGCTGGGTATGAGATGATGGAGGGCTGGGCATAAGATGGTGGAGGGCTGGGCATGAGATGGTTGAGGGCTGGGCATGAGATGTTTGAGGGCTGGGCATGAGATGATTGAGGGCTGGGCATGAGATGGTTGAGGGCTGGGCATGAGATGGTTGAGGGCTGGGCATAAGATGGTTGAGGGCTGGGCATGAGATGGTTGAGGGCTCGGCATGAGATGATTGAGGGCTGGTCATGAGATGGTTGAGGGCTGGGCATGAGATGGTTGAGGGCTGGGCATGAGATGATTGAGGGCTGGGCATGAGATGGTTGAGGGCTGGGCATGAGATGGTTGAGGGCTGGGCATGAGATGGTTGAGGGCTGGGCATGAGATGGTTGAGGGCTGGGCATGAGATGGTTGAGGGCTGGGCATGAGATGGTTGAGGGCTGGGCATGAGATGATGGAGGGCTGGGCATGAGATGATTTAGGGCTGGGTATGAGATGGTTGAGGGCTGGGCATGAGATGGTTGGGGGCTGGGCATGAGATGGTTGAGGGCTGGGCATGAGATGATTGAGGGCTGGGTATAAGATGTTGGAGGGCTGGGCATGAGATGGTTGAGGGCTGGGTATGAGATGGTTGAGGGCTGGGCATGTGATGGTTGAGGGCTGGACATGAGATGGTTGAGGGCTGGGCATGAGATGGTTGAGGGCTGGGCATGAGATGGTTGAGGGCTGGGCATGAGATGGTTGAGGGCTGGGCATGAGATGGTTGAGGGCTGGGCATGAGATGGTTGAGGGCTGGGCATGAGATGGTGGAGGGCTGGGCATGAGATGGTTGAGGGCTGGGCATGAGATGATTGAGGGCTGGGCATGAGATGGTTGAGGGCTGGGCATGAGATGATTGAGGGCTGGGCATGAGATGGTTGAGGGCTGGGTATGAGATGATGGAGGGCTGGGCATGAGATGGTGGAGGGCTGGGCATGAGATGGTTGAGGGCTGGGCATGAGATGTTTGAGGGCTGGGCATGAGATGATTGAGGGCTGGGCATGAGATGGTTGAGGGCTGGGCATGAGATGGTTGAGGGCTGGGCATGAGATGGTTGAGGGCTGGGCATGAGATGGTTGAGGGCTCGGCATGAGATGATTGAGGGCTGGGCATGAGATGGTTGAGGGCTGGGCATGAGATGGTTGAGGGCTGGGCATGAGATGATTGAGGGCTGGGCATGAGATGGTTGAGGGCTGGGCATGAGATGGTTGAGGGCTGGGCATGAGATGGTTGAGGGCTGGGCATGAGATGGTTGAGGGCTGGGCATGAGATGGTTGAGGGCTGGGCATGAGATGGTTGAGGGCTGGGCATGAGATGATGGAGGGCTGGGCATGAGATGATTTAGGGCTGGGTATGAGATGGTTGAGGGCTGGGCATGAGATGGTTGAGGGCTGGGCATGAGATGGTTGAGGGCTGGGCATGAGATGATTGAGGGCTGGGTATAAGATGTTGGAGGGCTGGGCATGAGATGGTTGAGGGCTGGGTATGAGATGGTTGAGGGCTGGGCATGTGATGGTTGAGGGCTGGACATGAGATGGTTGAGGGCTGGGCATGAGATGGTTGAGGGCTGGGCATGAGATGGTTGAGGGCTGGGCATGAGATGGTTGAGGGCTGGGCATGAGATGGTTGAGGGCTGGGCATGAGATGGTGGAGGGCTGGGCATGAGATGGTTGAGGGCTGGCATGAGATGATTGAGGGCTGGGCATGAGATGGTTGAGGGCTAGGCATGAGATGATTGAGGGCTGGGCATGAGATGGTTGAGGGCTGGGCATGAGATGGTGGAGGGCTGGGCATGAGATGGTTGAGGGCTGGGCATGAGATGATGGAGGGCTGGGCATGAGATAGTTGAGGGCTGGGCATGAGATGGTGGAGGGCTGGGCATGAGAGGGTTGAGGGCTAGGCATGAGATGATTGAGGGCTGGGCATGAGATGGTTGAGGGCTGGGCATGAGATGGTTGAGGGCTGGGCATGAGATGGTTGAGGGCTGGGCATGAGATGGTTGAGGGCTGGGCATGAGATGGTTGAGGGCTGGGCATGAGATGATGGAGGGCTGGGCATGAGATGGTTGAGGGCTGGGCATGAGATGGTGGAGGGCTGGGCATGAGATGGTTGAGGGCTAGGCATGAGATGATTGAGGGCTGGGCATGAGATGGTTGAGGGCTGGGCATGAGATGATTGAGGGCTGGTCATGAGATGATGGAGGGCTGGGCATGAGATGGTTGTGGGCTGGGCATGAGATGGTTGAGGGCTGGGCATGAGATGATTGAGGGCTGGGCATGAGATGGTTGAGGGCTGGGCATGAGATGGTTGAGGGCTGGGCATGAGATAGTTGAGGGCTGGGTATGAGATGGTTGAGGGCTGGGCATGAGATGGTTGAGGGCTGGGCATGAGATGATTGAGGGCTGGGCATGAGATGGTTGAGGGCTGGGCATGAGATGGTTGAGGGCTGGGCATGAGATGGTTGAGGGCTAAGCATGAGCTGGTTTAGGGCCTCATCTCCATTGGGGGGGGGGGTATAGAGGGCAGAAGAAGAAAATCTAATGATGTCAATATGTAAAACATGTATGATCCTGGTGTACACAAACTTAGGCCCTTTCTTGTGCCAAAGGATTTGTGGCTCTGTGTTGAGACACACTCTGTGTGATTATTGGGAGGAGACTGGGGCACTGATGAAGATGTCTGTGTGATGATGGGGAGGAGACTGGGGCACTGATGAAGATGTCTGTGTGATGATGGGTAGGAGACTGGGGCACTGATGAAGATGTCTGTGTGATGATTGGGAGGAGACTGGGGCACTGATGAAGATGTCTGTGTGATGATGGGGAGGAGACTGGGGCACTGATGAAGATGTCTGTGTGATGATGGGTAGGAGACTGGGGCACTGATGAAGATGTCTGTGTGATGATGGGTAGGAGACTGGGGCACTGATGAAGATGTCTGTGTGATGATGGGGAGGAGACTGGGGCACTGATGAAGATGTCTGTGTATGTCTGATGAAACTACCAAACACTAAAACCAAAAGCTGTCAGGCGTTCATTGTTTGATCAACAGAAGATAATTACAGAAGATAACCTGAGCTACAGAACTGGTTTGTTGGTAAAGACTAACAGCTGGATGGTGCACACAGAATGGATGAAACAGGCTGCTTGCTGGAGAGTGGATGTCTCAATGAATGAGTAATCAAATGTCAGAAGTAGAGAAAGCACCTACAGGTTTATCACTTCTGGTGTTAGAGTCCTTGATTCGCATGTAGGATGATTCCATTACAGTCATGCATCTGCTTTTATTTGATCTATCTCTCATGAAAACATGATGCCTTTTTTGGTTTATAACTGACTAATGTGGTCTGTTCACAATTTGATCAGGGATCATTGTCATAGTGTTTGGACTGAGATTCTCCTTGCAGAAAAACATAAAAGTGACTCTTAACACAGAAAGATAATTTTATATGGACGACATGAGATACAACAGAGAATATGTGTTTATAGGGCTAAGTAATCAACACCTGCCCTGCCCAGCAGTATAGGCACTCATGTCTATCCCCATATTTCAGCCCCTGCTATTTTCACCCAGTTCCAATGAGGATATTCCACCTTACCATTGCTTCAGGTCGTCAAGCATAGTCTCCCTTGTTCTGTCCCTGTCTCTCCTTCCCTTTAAGGGACATACCAGATATAGGAGAAAACTGATCAGAATATGTCTTACACATAAAGCAGATACATCCTTGGGAAATTGGGGAGGGGTGAATACACTAAACAAGGAAGAGAAGACAGGAGACTGGACAGAGGCTGAGTTACCTGGTTGATGAAGGTCGCTGATTCCGGACAGTCGCCTCCTGGGACTAGAGACTTGGAGTGAGTACCAATCAGAGCTCCGGAGTCTACAAAGTCTGTGATTCGCTGCCAGAGTATCAACATCACATCATATCAGATTTTTTTACTTTATAGTATTTCAGATAATGTAAAAAACGTTAAGGACCCTTTCCATGATGTCAGATGGACTGGGCAAATAGGGCAGGACCTATATTTTACAGACCAATTGGTGGGTGATGATGTCAACTTCATGTTGGCCATCTTTGGCACAAACATATTACAGGCATCTTGGTCTACCTAGATCTTCACTCAGATAAGACACTAATATTTCTTCATCTCTCTTTATCCTCTTGATAGTGCTTTCTTTATTTACATATTCTTGCACTACACAGATCTACATTGTACCTTCACCTACTTTTGTCTGCGCTTTCCATCACTGCCTCTCTTCCCCATATGTCATTCTGTTAACCTCACTGTGTTCTGTGCTCTGTATCTTACTCTCGAGAAGGTTTTCTCTCACACACTCTCTCTCTCTCTCTCACTCTCTGACTTGTCTGGCTGACAGAATTTAACATTAAAACAATTTAAACTTGCTTCTCTCAGTACAAGACTTACACGCTTGATTGCAGTCAGTCAGTTGTAAACAATGATCAAGTGACTTGCCATTTAACATGGATGAACAGGCTTTTCTACATCTTGCAATCTACAGTGGCTTGTATCAATCCATTTCTGCCATTGCCGGTCCTAAGCTCGGATGAGAAAGGAGAAGGGTTGTGTGGTGCCAACTCCTCAACCCTGTAAAAGTAACTTTCTGCAGAAGCTTGCATGAAAGGAAACCACACCAGGGAAAAGAACTTGCCAAGTGGTATGTGATGAACATGTATGATCTTTGCTGATAAAAGCTGTTCTTCGGTATTCAGTTGCCAGACATGTAAATTACTTGACTCAAAAATATATGATTTCAAAAGGTGTGCCCAGGACAGAACGGAGTATAGCAGTAAATATAAACCCCATGTGGCACATAATAGTTAATCGCACAAAAGGATGATAATGAATATGTTGATGATGTATCCATCCCTGTACTGACAGCTTTTTGTGTCATGACAATACAACTTTTCCTCCCTATCTCCTTCTAACTCTCTTTTGATAATATTCCCAGTGAAGGCAATATAAATAATTAGATCATGAAAATGTTATTGCTTGAAATGTGAATTGATAGGAAGATTTAACACAGCAGTAAACCTGTTTCAACTTTATATGTTTCTTAAAACTGCAGATTCCAGAAACTAACCTCTACTAGTTGATGATTGAAAATGATCATGCTAAATGTGGACAGAAAAGCCAGCCAATTAGACAAGTTTAGTGCCAGATTTAGACCTGACGAGGCTGGTAGCTATATAAAGTCTTGAGGCCCCTACTGTTGTAAAATACAGCAGCTAATACTCTTTTTTAAATATATGGATGATGACAAAATATTGTTGTTTAATTTTTAGCAAATAATAATAGTAATAATAATACTCAATAATGTGCCTGTAAAATACAGCAGCTCATACTCTTGTTTAAATATATGGATGATGACAAAATATTGTTGTTTAATTTTTAGCACAATAATAGTAATAATAATACTCAATAATGTGCCTGTAAAATCACAGAAATTATATTATATAAACACCCTTAAAGCTCTATTAAAAGAAAATTGCATTTATGAACAAAAGTAAGGAAATTGTTGAGGCCCCTGCAGGTTGTGAGGCCATAGACTGCAATGTATTTAACTTTTGCCTAAATCCAAAACTGAACGAGCTCATTGTCAGCCCTTCACATTTCCTGGACATTTAATCATACACCCACACACACGCACATGCACACACTCACACATGCATGCATGCATGCACACACACGCACGCGCACACACACACACACACAGATCTTACATGCAAGGAGTTATATCCAGAATAGAAAACAGCAATCTCTGCGAGTCCAAGCTCATAGGCAATTCTCTCGCCCTTGAAACGGATATCATACAGCGATGGTCCCGTGAGTGCAGACATGCGGAAGTTGAAGCTCCACCCAAGGTAAGTTACCTGAAAACAGTCAGTACTTGTTCAGTCAGATGCACTCGTCAGCAAGATTGTTACATTTGTAATTGTAACAACTATCAAAGTAATTAACTACTACCCCCCAACTGTTGTCACCCTTATCGCTCTTCTTCCTCCTTTTTCTTATCCTGCACCTCTTTCTTGTCCACATCTTCTTCCTCCTTGTTTTGTTTCCTTATTTCTTTCTTGGAGTGTCCTCTGTAGTGCAAGGTTAAGCCAGTCTGTCTGTAGGACATACCCTCACTCCAACATGACAGACAGAAACCAGTGATGATAGTGACTAAACTCTAGTATCGACGACGTGGCAGAAACTGTTACAGAAGTGTTGAGACAATCACAAGACTATCTCAGGTACTCCAGCTCTGGATATTTCCTTGGGGTGTTAGCCCAAATCCCTGCCCAAGTATGGGTCTCCTACAAGACAGAAATGGTTTTCAACATCAGTAGGTAAACACAGGCACACAGGTCAACAGCCATATTGTGCATACAGTGCTATCCCAAATTGTTAAAAATTAGTTGTCATTTCATAGGTTGAATGTTGGATGTTGAATCAGGAATCAACTTCACAAAACTTGGGAATCCCATAAGCGTTCTGTATCCATCTTCAGCAGCAAGCACAGAGCTACAATTCTTATGGCATCAATACCAGTCTAGATTTATCTCTGTATTGCCTTGACCTTGAGTGCTAAGCATCAGCCAGATCGCCTGGTCATTCCTTGCAGCACCATTCTCTCCTCAGAGCTTGAAGATCCATTTATGCCTCCACACTGTTCACTCACTCCCAAAGGATCCTTACAACACCTCGCTTGGCATGCATCAATTAACCAACAAGGTCATTCCATATGTGCATCAATTCACCATGACGGTCATTTCATAGGTGCATCAATTGACCATCACGGTCACTTCATAGGTGCATCAATTCACCATCACCGTCATTTAATAGGTGCATCAATTCACCAACTATGTCATTTCATATGTGCATCAATTCACCATGACCGTCATTTCATAGGTGCATTAATTCACCATCATGGTCATTTCATAGCTGCATCAATTCACCAACTAGGTCATTTCATATGTGCATCAATTCACCATGACCGTCATTTCATAGGTGCATCAATTCACCAACTAGGTCATTTCATATGTGCATCAATTCACCATGACCGTCATTTCATAGGTGCATCAATTCACCAACTAGGTCATTTCATATGTGCATCAATTCACCAACTAGGTCATTTATTAGGTGCATCAATTCAACATCACAGTTTTTTCATAGGTGCATCAATTCATCAATTCATCATCACAGTTATTTCATAGGTGCATCAATTTAACATCACAGTTTTTTCATAGGTGCATCAATTCATCAATTCATCATCACAGTTATTTCATAGGTGCATCAATTCAACATCACAGTTATTTCATAGGTGCATCAATTCACCATCACGGTTATTTCATAGGTGCATCAATTCAACATCAGTTATTTCATAGGTGCATCAATTCATCAATTCAACATCACAGTTATTTCATAGGTGCATCAATTCATCAATTCATAATCACAGTTATTTCATAGGTGCATCAATTCACCATCACAGTTATTTCAAAGGTGCATCAATTCACCATCACGGTTATTTCATAGGTACATCAATTCACCATCATGGTCACTTCATAGGTGCCAGAATTCACCATCACGGTTATTTCATAGGTGCATCAATTCACCATCAAAGTCATTTCATAGGTACATCGATTCACCATCAGTGTCATTTCATAGGTGCATCAATTCACCATTACAATTTTTCAACAGGTGCATCAATTCACCACCAAGATCATTTCATAGGTGCATCAATTCACCATCAGGGTCATTTCATAGGTGCATCAACTCACCATCACAGTTATTTCATAGGTGCATCAATTTACCACCACAGTTATTTCATAGCTGCATCAATTCACCATTATGGTTATTTAACAGGTGCATCAATTCACCACCAAGATCATTTCATAGGTGCATCAATTCACCATCACATTTATTTTATAGGTGCATCAATTTACCATCACAGTTATTTCATAGGTGCATCAATTCACCATCACAATAATTTCATAGGTGCATCAATTCACCAACAGGGTCATTTCATGGGTGCATCAATTCACCATGACAATCATTTCATAGGTGCATCAATTCACCATGACAATCATTTCATAGGTGCATCAATTCACCATGACAATCATTTCATAGGTGCATCAATGCACCATCACGGTCATTTCACAGTTGCATCATTTTACTGCCAAGATCATTTCACAGGTCACATCATCAATACCATGGAGTTGGTGGCCACTTTTACTTTTCTGAACATTTCTGGGCTTCAATTTTAGACTCCGCCTAGAAGCTCGAGGTAATATTAAAAACTAACATTATGAAGATTTAAACGGATCATCTCTGACCAACCAGTAAGTGCTTTAGCTACTGAGCATTGCTACTTTCAACCAGGTTAAGTATGAAATGAAGTAGCTTCCACAATACCACTGACCTTTCTGTCTTTCAGAGAGTACCTCTTTCCATCCGGTTCAACCTGTGTGGGTGGCCGAAGAGGCTCCTCAGGCTGTGGGCTACCTCTCAGGTTTAGAGAGGAGAAAACACTGGGGTTGTAAGTGTGTCTAGAAATATGTGACTTCTCACTGGGTCTGTTGGAGGAAGTCATAGATAAGGGCCAGCTTAACATAGCTACTCAATCAAACCAGTGCAATGACAGCTTAACACAGCTACTCAATCAGGACAGCTACTCAATCAGGACAGCTTAACACAGCTACTCAATCAGGACAGCTTTACACAGCCACTCAATCAGGACAGCTTCACACAGCCACTCAATCAGGACAGCTTCACACAGCCACTCAATCAGGACAGCTTCACACAGCCACTCAATCAGGACAGCTTCACACAGCCACTCAATCAGGACAGCTTCACACAGCCACTCAATCAGGACAGCTTCACACAGCCACTCAATCAGGACAGCTTCACACAGCCACTCAATCAGGACAGCTTCACGCAGCCACTCAATCAGGACAGCTTCACGCAGCCACTCAATCAGGACAGCTTCACGCAGCCACTCAATCACACCACAAAAGTTACACTACTACCAATAAAAGGTGCAGCAATAAATTCCGCTAGCAATATTTCTACTACATCTGCTATTTCTATGCTACAATAAATACTGTTAGCACTACGACGTCCACCAACAACTACTATTATACAACTACTGTGACTCATAGGCGCCAGATGGTGGGTGCACAGGTCCCTTGAGGCCTCATCACTCCGCCCAATAATTACTGTCAGCTTTTTGTTGTTGGCCCATATTAAACATCATTACAATGAGTTTACATGACTTCACATGGCTCCACATGACGTCAGATGACTTCATATCGTTCCAAATGACATCAGATGACTTCACATGGTTCCACATGACGTCAGAAGACTTCACATGGCTCCACATGACGTCAGATGACTTCACATGGCTCCACATGACGTCAGATAACTTCACATGGCTCCACATGGCGTCAGATGACTTCACATGGCTCCACATGACGTCAGATGACTTCACATGGCTCCACATGACGTCAGATGACTTCACATGGTTCCACATGATGTCAGATAACTTCACATGGCTCCACATGACGTCAGATACCTTCACATGGCTAAACATGACGTCAGATGACTTCACATGGCTCCACATGACGTCAGATGACTTCACATGGTTCCACATGACGTCAGATGATTTCACATGGCTCCACATGCCGTCAGATGACTTCACATGGTTCCACATGATGTCAGATGACTTTACATGGCTCCACGTGACGTCAGATGACTTCACATGGCTCCACATGACGTCAGATGACTTCACATGGTCCCACATGACGTCAGATGACTTCACATGGCTCCACATGATGTCAGATGACTTCACATGGTTCCACATGACGTCAGATGACTTCACATGGTTCCACATGATGTCAGATGACTTCACATGGCTCCACACAACGTCATCTGACTTCACATGGTTCCACATGACGTCACATGACTTCACATGGTTCCACATGATGTCAGATGACTTCACATGGTTCCACATGATGTCAGATAACTTTACATGGCTCCACATGATGTCAGATAACTTCACATGGCTCCACATGATGTCAGATAACTTCACATGGTTCCACGTGATGTCAGATGACTTCACATGGCTCCACATGACGTCAGATGAGTTCACATGGTTCCACATGACGTCAGATGACTTCACATGGTTCCACATGACGTCAGATGACTTCACATGGTTCCACATGACGTCAGATTACTTCACATGGTTCCACATGATGTCAGATAACTTCACATGGCTCCACATGACGTCAGATAACTTCACATGGCTCCACATGACACCACACTCTCCCTTCGTGGACACGGCTGTACAATATTCTAGAGATGAAAACGGTCAGAGAGTCAGATAATCATAGCCCGCCCGACACTGAGAGAATCGTGACATGTTTACTTTGACCAAGGAAATAGCTACCTTGGATTAAGAGACAACCACAATAGCAGCAACAACAACAGCAGCAGCGGCAACACCATCATCAACAACAATATCAACAACACCAGCAACAACACCAACAGTCTACTTACCCGCTGGAGTTGTAAAACACAATAAGCTCATCGACGCTATTGTAGAGTTTGCCGTGATACCACAGCTTATCAATCACGAAGTTTTTGGGATTGGATCCATCCAGCTGAGCCAGGACTCCGAAATCCACAGGGTGGAGTACATAATATTCCACTGGGTAATCGGCCCAGAGCCAGAGGCGTCGCTTGTTGATGTCCTTGACCAAGTTGGTTGCCACGGGAGACGGGTAGAACTTGAAACAGTCGCTGGGCTTGCAGTCGATATACGAGGTCCCATAACTCTCTCGGAGGATGTACCCAATCTGTAAACGGTTATGTCGGTAAATCATTAGGCAAATGACCCTTCTCCACGCCTTTAGGTATGTTGGGCATATTGGGCTAGAGCTATATTTTATAGACCAATCGACACTTGGGGGAAATGTGGTCAACATCATGACTGGCGCCTTTACTTCTGAGGACTTTCCTTGGCGCCCATTTAGAGCTGGGTCGACCCAGGAGCCAAAGACATTTTCTAAAGTCCGGCTTCGTTACGACCTGAACCCACCATCTTCGGGTCTGCAGGCGGGGATCTAGCCGCTACACCACGACAGCTCCCATGGGGATATGAAGCATCACTATCTATACGCCATTGTCATAACATTCAATTTGCCCACATCCACGTTGTAGTCGTGCCGTGTTTGTTTCGTAGATGTAAGTATGCAGTTGGCTTTTATGCAGTTAGCTCATCGTGCACATAGTGATATTAGTAATGATCCAGTTTGTGGAGATTCATCGTCGCTAGATGGGGGATGTAGTCAGCATCACGCCGGCCGCCTTTAGTTCAGACATTTCCTGGTAGTTACATTAGATTGCGCTGTACTTGGGAGACATCGTTCAGACATGCGGTTGTTCAAGACAATGAGCGTGCAGATTATCAGGCAGACAAGGCGGTTACCGCGACCGGACATGAATGCCTTGCGAGATGCACATCGCGAAGAAGGACACTGTGGTGCAACATGGAGCAACCAGACGTGAACATTTCACCAAGGGCACAAGGCGTCTCTCTATTCGTTATGTTTATTTAGCGGATCAATATCATAAAACACGGGGGAAACTAAAAATTGCCCCGTTCTACTTCTAACTCAAGCCTTAGTTTGAAGCATCTTAACGGAGTTCACGAACGCCGTTGCACCGGCTAGGATCCTGAAATACTTTCGGTAGATTTTTAAAACTAGATTTTGCACGGGCAGCGCCGTTAGGCTACTCTTTTAGATTTCCAACTGCCAAGGGATTTTTTACGTGCAGCTTTTACCGGGGCTTGAATCCGGGACCTTCAGCACTCGAGGCCCCAGACTCCAGAAAAAAATCCATTTAACTGTTACTTTAAAGCTTAACGACGGTGGAAGAGGGACAGAGAGAAACAGAGAAAGACAGATAGAGATACACACACACTCGCGAGTGCACAAACACGCGCGCGCGCAGGTGCGCACTGAGGAACGAATGGACGTTTCGACAGCTGCCTTATTTTGAGAAAACTGCCCGGTGGCCAGAGGACTGTCCCCTTGTTGTGGTTTTTGTTGATAGACTTGCCGAAATGTCCATTGTGTGGTGTGTGTGTGTCTGTGTCTCTGTGTGTATGTATGTGAGCGTGTTTGTGTGTGTGTGTGTGTGTGTGTGCGCGAATGTGAGAGTGTGTGTGTGTGTTTGTTGCGTGTGAGTGCACGTATGTGTGTGTAAGTATGAGTGTGTGTTAGTGCATGTGTGCGAGTGGGAGTGTGTGTGTGTGTGTGTGTGTGTGTGAGTGCGTGCGTGCGTTCCAGTGTGAGTTGTTGTTGTGTGTGTGTGCGCGTGCGTGTGTTCTTTTTCCCTTCCCGCCCTTGGCATTTCAACTAAGTTGTGTGTGTATTTTTTTAACTGGAACACTCAACCAAAAAAAGTAGTTCTATTTTGTGTTGCATGTTTAAACAATGTTTGTTAATCTGACAATAAATCAAATGTGTGTTACGTGTGTGTACCTCCAAGGTCAATCAAATGTACGTGGTGAAAAGGGAAATAATTTGTTGTCTGAAAATGTTTCCTGTGGCAAAGCCTGATGGTTGGCAACATTGCTGAAAGATGTTTTTGACGTGCCAGTGGCGACTGTAGTGGAAACATGTCACCTACTTTCAGGAAAGAACAGGCTAAGGGTACGTTTGTAACATTTACTGTTGTAGCCATAGCTCACCGACGATGCTTGACTGGTGTTGACAGATGGGGAGCATAGCATGGCTGCAGGATGTAGGGCTGCGAGAAGTGACTAGGGAGTTATGAGTTACCCACTTTCTTATGCTGATCATTCTAATGCAACTGGCAGCATCGCAGAACAACTTTAAATTGTTCTTTGGCAGCACATAAGTGGGACAAGAGCACTGATCTAATCCGAGACTAGGGATCACAGATGGTTAACTATGACCGCATAATACTTTGTCTACATGGCACGTGATGATGAAGATTGTAATCGTAATCATAACGAGTTCTGGAATAGTAAGATCGGATATCAGCTGGGGGCGCAAGTTCAAGGTCACACAACGGTGACAACAGAGATAAGTGTACCGTGAAGCGAGCTTGCCGTGGTTAGCTGGCAGGGGGATCGCAAAGATACAGCTTAATACTGTGCCCGACCTGTCTGTAGAAGCTGACAAGCCGACACCGGTGCATGAGGAGTTGAGACAGTCAGGGCACAACTAGGCTTTCCGGCTAACCCAGTGGCTGGTACATTTAAGCAACCGTCACTGGACTACAGGCGACTTCGCTACCGTGTTGTGGTGTCCCAATTAGCGGTGCCTAATGGCTATACGGTTGGTAGAGATAGGATGGATTCGAACACAATAATTGGAATCACTGAGAAAATCACGTCTGACAGGAATCTCTTTTATTAGTGTGCCAGGGCATGCTGGGGTAAGAGGGAATAAACGAGCGGATAGAGTTGCTGGCACAGCCACAGTAGCAGTGGGCTTGGCCGATATTCTCAATGCTCTCAACGAGGCAGGACGGGTAAATGTTTCCAGCGACGACGCTGAGGCGACATCATTCAAAAGACTACATCTTCAGATCAAAACAGATATTACCAAACATGAACACACACAATAAAATTAGTCAAAGACGAATGGTAAACCAATACAGCACTGGGGTTATCAGTCGCCACATGCTAGCTAGCTTACTAACTAAACTAACTAAACTAACTAACTAACTAAACTAACTAACTAACTAACGGTTGAACTAGATTTCCCGGATTTGTACTTGTCTGATATCATCAGTTTTCCCACAGCCAGCAATGATATACAGACCTGGCGGGAGGCGAACAAAAGGCCGATCATGCAAGCAACGGACAGAGGCAATAGCAGAGTCCCCGGGAAATTCCCATTTACGAACCGCACAAACGGGCGCTTTCCCTCGACACTGAAAGGTACCAGAGGATCACGCTGAGTACCCATTTTATTCTCACCCCTAAGATGTCAATCCTTCAGACGGAAATCCTCGAGAGAAAAACTTTTTTGTATGAGTATGCTCAGGAAGATAGAGAAGGGCTGGGTCTGAAGGCAGTGGTTAGTGGTTCTACAGAATTCACGGCTGACATGGATTAGTTTCATTTTCGTGCCAGGATATGTCGGGGTACAACTTTTTCTCTAAAGTGGTTGGTAATCTTGTCTGTCGACTCTGCTGTCAAGGGTTCCAATCTTCGGTGAAAGGATGTCTATCACTGACAGAATGACTCACAATAACAATGCCAACAAGGTCGATCCAGACTAATATTAATTCACGAAAATGACACCGGACGTAAAGGCGACAGGCCTGATCATAACGGTATCACCCAATACGCTTTATGTCACGAGAAGGGACATGATCTCTGTTCAACTCGAATAACCAGATGCGTGATACACCGCTGGATGGGGACACGAAGAGAGATCCTGTCTAGTAACTGTTAGTGAAGCCTCCTTCTGCAGCGGCAGTTGACAAACTGGTTAGTGTAGTCTACAGTGACATTGTGTTAGGACAACTTGTGACTGGGACCCGGCGTTTGTCTGAACTAAAGTGTCTGCTTACATCGGTGACATATCTGGTTCTTCTGTGTGGACAGTGAGTAATGAGCTGGAGGAAAGGAAAGTGTGGATGGTGGAGACAGGGGCGCCGCCACGAAGTAAACATCAATCAGGTGGGCTCAGCCTCCCCTCCCCCCACATACACACACAAATTAAGGGGTTTCAAGGCCTCACCTTCTTCTTCCCCTCTTCCACCTTGTACCTCAGCGACGTGTCGGGGGAGGTGTAACATTAGTTGATGAGCTCTGTCAAGAGCATCATTAAGATTGATTTAATTTCTGTAAGGCTGTTCTTAGACCTTCACTCCATTTTTCCAAGGTCTTCCGCTCGCTCTATTCCCGTTGTAAGGTTTCAGTGTGGCTCGCAATGGTAGATAGTATCAGGGCATTCTTGTTAAGTGTTCAAACCAATTAATTTTTTTAATTTTATTTACCGGTAAGACTGGCTTTATTCTAGCATTCGTCTGATGTCGTGATTTCGTATTCTGTCTTTGACTGAAACTCCTGCAGCTCTTCTAAGGCATTTCATCTCTGTTGTCACAAGTTTACGTTCATTAGAGGATGTATTGTTAATTGTAAATGTCCACGTTTGGCACTGACAGCATAGTGTTGGCCAAAAAATAGTTCTGATAAGATGCACTTTAGTAATCCGGGGTGTGACAACAGGGAAGATAGCTGCTCCATTACTTAATTAGCTTTGGCACATCTGGAGCTAATTTCTCTGTCCAGTTTTAAATTTGATGTGAAAATTTATCCCAAATACTTAAATTCCCCTGTTTGTTTTTAGGCCTCACCACATCCACAAATGTATTCAGGGTTTTAAAATTATCCTTTAAAGTATTTATTTAAACGCGTTATATTTTGTCATATATATTATTACATTTACATATCATTGTTATTTTTACTATTATTATTGCGTTGAATGGCAAATATTTATAATAAATATACTTGATTTAACATGAAATTCATAAACACATAATAAAAAGAAGATTTTTATAAAGCGTTAAGGGGCGCCTCTTATATATATATGGGGGGGGGGGGGTAGTTGGGGAGGGGGGCGGTTGGGAGCTGAGTGCCCAAAAAACAATTCTGGGTGGGCTCAAGGGACCTATGCTCCCAGGTTGTGTCCCCTATGGGCAAATTTACTTTGTCAAGAAGAAGAAGAGAGACAGGGACCTGTGCTCCCAGGTTCTGTCCCCCATGGGCAGATATAGTTTGTCAAGAAGAAGAGACAGGGACCTGTGC